TTTACAATATTCTTTACATCCACTTTCGATGCATCAAAATTAAGTTAGTTGGTAAGGTTGGAAATTTTCATTGACTCCTACCTCTACGTGCAATCCTGGCGGATGTAGAAGTATCTTAGTTGGAAGCCGAGTGGACATCAAACTAAGATGTGAGGTAATTTCACATAGTCATTGGTCTGAGCCATATTTACAAATGTACACTGTCTGATTGGAGACGTTTTGTGACCTTTTATTTAGAACCTATCAAAACAACTCTGATGTGTTCGTCTTTACATTTCTCTAAATCATAAATTTTACTACTCCTTCGTACATATTTTTATTTCCACATTTTCGTACGATATTCTCAATTCTTATTCTTTCTTATTACTATTACTACGACATGATTTAAACTCCTTTTCTACCTATTTTGTTAATTTCATCGCGTTGTGCTCATATACTATTGAAACAGGTCAATTCACATATGTGCCAGTTTCTACGTTGATTGTGACTGTCTGAAAAATTCGAACCTAAACACTCAGAAATGTGTTTTTTAATGACTCAGTTAAATACATTCATATATACCTCTTTACTTGGAACGCTTCATCCTGAAACTTTGTTATGCCCTTATTTATGTTACGTAATCTCAGCTCAAGATTCATTACCACTATATGACCATATTATAACAGATGTTTCTGCAAAACCATAATTTGCAGACTAACCAATGAAATTAAAGATAGCGAGTCTTGAATTTTGGTGCTAAGTTCATTTATCAATATGGTTAAATAACATTTTGATTTTATAGCTGATGCCAGCTCGCAGTGAAAGCCCTATTCCTAATTTACAACCCAATTTCTAACTCTACATCCTATTTTTGATTTTTTACACTGATCGATAATCCTCTTTTGATCCTATTAAGTTTTCTCGAGATCACTTTATCTTCGCTCAAAGGTCTTCCATAGGTTATAATTTCACAGCGACAAAACTATATCTTATGTAATTTCAACATTTTACCTGACTTAAACTTGAATACTACTGTTTTGTAAGAGGTATGAATCAAAAATCTAAAAATGAGCATGATATTGATAACTTGGGTAAGAGGTGAATTGAAGGAATTCATTAGACCAAATAGAAAAAGCAATGATGTTCTTTACATTATGTTGGTATACAATGATAGGCAATTGTTTTGTTACATGCATTATATTATATTTCAAATAGTTAGTGCAACTAAAACCTTAACGTTTTCACCCGCGTATCCAAGTCAGTCTGTAAACTTGATGAATATGTAGTGGACAGTTCTCTGTCAAGCCTACTTGAGTTATTCTAGCTTCCAGACAGACCAGTCTATTTACTGGAGTCATATTTTTACCATATCGATTACTCGCTTATAACCTTGACTGTTTTTACATAAGCGCGTATGTGTGTTTATCACCTATCCTTTTCATCACACGTCTTTAGCTTATTTTTGTCTGGCTAAAAATAGTGAGTCAAGCTATACCAAATGGATTTGGTACATTTCATTTATCGGCTACTTTCTCGCTGTCCTCCTGCTTCTCATCTTAATGTCTGAGTGAACGAAAGTTTGAAATTAATACTTCTATCAACGCTTAAACAGGGTTATCCTAGGTCTAATATACGGAGTTAAACGGAAGATTTATGTTCATGGAATATTCATTCGTTCGTCCAAATTGGAGTCAAATCTCGAGGCACTAAAAATTCTACTTTAACTGGTTAGGATATATGTATCCATGTCGTGTAAATTTGTATTGAGCCATTGTTTACTAAGATGTTTATAACTGAACCGTTATGTCTAAAAAAAACTGAAAGGAAGAAAAATATAAGTTATTGTCCAAGTATTTAAATAAATTGTTTCTATTTTTAATAAAAATGCGTCCCATTAGCATTTAATAGCTAATCGATATGAATTCGGATATTTCCAATTTATAACACTGAATAATTTGACCAGAACATTTAGATACATACCTTAATACTCTGTTTAATGTAACAGTATTTTTAGATTTATAACTGTAGAGCATAATGAATAAGTTATCAAAAACGATTGTACGATGAAATATTTCTTTTTTTTTGCAGCATTTTTATAGGGTTTTTGAAATTACTGAAAATAATCAATTTCATTAAATTAATACATAAATTTATTTTACCAAGGAACTGTTGGTTCCAACTATGCTAAGTAATATGTAGTCAACTCAGGTACCAGATAAAGCTTTACATACTTAGCTTTGTGTCACACTCTTAGTATGAAAGTTAGTCATATTACGCTGTTGCTCAATACTGTGTAGGTGGAGTGGGGTTCAAACCTGGAAATAAGTAGCTGAAACTCAAAAACCCCTTAAGTACTGAGACATCGCTCAGCTTTTTAAAATCAGGCAACACTCGCCAATCCCAGACGGTCACCCATTCAAGCGCTAATCGAGTCCAACTTTGATACGATGGAAACGGGTATTTCCAAAGTCAAATATAAGTTTCGTATATTACATAGCCTGATATACATATATATATATATATATATATATATATATATATATATATATATATATATATATATATATATATATATATATATATATATATATATATATAGATATATGGATAACAACTCTATGAGACAAAACTACAAATAGATAATGTAATAGACCACTAAAATATTGTAATTCGTGTAGGTATTCATTTGATTAACGTATATTTGTTTCTTCTCTCTGTCGTTTTGTTCTTCCTTTCCGTACATATTGTCATTGATATGCATAGACTAACTTTTTCAACACATTCCGCTTTATCAGTATAGGTTTGTGAACACGAAATCATGAAAAATCAGAATATTTCTTATTGAGGTAATGAAGCGATCAACGTTAGACCACATTGAAAACCTGGTAGCACTAGACACGGCCGTTTGTCCTAGTATGTGACTCTCTAAAGTTGCACATCCACGATCCTGCGCGTAACTGGAAACCAGAACCTTCAGTTTCCATCACAAATGCTCAACCTATAGACCACTGAACCAGCATCCAACAGTATTGATGTCTAACTTCAATCCACTATATTGCGCGATAAACTTCAATTGTCTTTGTGGATGCTCTTTGCTAAGGGGTCCCATACTAGGACGAAACTATTGTTCAGTGCTTCCAATAGTGGTATAACATCGATCGCTTTATTACCTCAATTAAAGATATTCTGCTGTTTTATCTTCTTATTTTTAGTCCACTCTCCGTTATATTTGTATCACTGGTTTTTTTGCCGGATTTTTCTTTATTAGGATGATTTTTTTCATACTGAAAGTTAATTTCATTTGTTTTTATGCTTCACTTATTTGTACAGAAATATTATAGTCTCATACAAAACATTTATATTTAGAAATAATATGCCTGACTAAATTATGTATTCATTTGCAGAATGCTTTAACGGTGAATTTTACCTATTTATATAACCGTAATATTAATAATCCACTCTTTTTGATATAGATTTTATGGTTATGCGATAAGTAAGGTAATTACTATCTTGATATTAGTTATTTCCAAATGGTTGAAGTTGGAAACTAGCGAACCATCGCTTATATCAGTGACGAAATGTTGTTGTTACTGTTCTCATTATAAAACCCAGAGGATTTTGCGTTTGAATCGCTTAAGTGTGTGGACTTATGAATGGGCACTCCTATTAAAGCCTCAACCTAAAATAGAAAAGTTGTTGCAGTTGTCTACGCAAAATACTTCAGATCCGTTGGCCGGACACTATAAGCAACAACCTACTATGGGAAAGAACAAATCAGATCCCAGTGGAGGAAGAAATCAGGAAGAAGCGCTGGAAGTGGATAGGACACACATTGAGGAAAACACCCAACTGCGTCACAAGACAAGCCCTCATATGGAATCCTCAAGGTCGAAGGAGGAGAGGAAGACCAAAGAATACATTACGCCGAGAAATGGAGATAGATATGAGAAAAATGAACAAGAATTGGATGGAACTAGAAAAGAAGGCCCAGGACAGAGTGGGTTGGAGAATGCTGGTCGGCGGCCTATGCTCCATTGGGAGTAACAGGCGTAAGTAAGTAAGTTTCCATAGCTCTACAGCTGATGTCGTAATGTTAGTATGTTTATAAAAGATCGGGTTAATAATGCATCGTGGAGAATAATTCTGCTTGTTAAACCTGGTCATTCTGAGTTGAGGATGTTTGGCTGCTCTTTGTTCAATTATCACTGCCTCTGAAGGATTGGCGACATCCAGTGAAAACGCCATGCTAGTAATGCTGAGATTAGTTAATGTGTGTTCGAGCCCTATCGAGGATAATCTGATTAGTATTAACATCTTGAAGCACCATCTTCAGTTACCTTCACCTGTTGTACGAATATAATCACAGCAGCTTCAATATGAAGGATTATTTGGCAACGCTTAGAGGGCGTGGAAAATGTGAAGTGGTCAGTTCTCGACATAGCATCATAATATGAAAATAATACCTATTTAGTGTCTTACAAATGGTACAACCAAATGGCTTAAGATGTTATGAGACACAGACTGCAAGAGAAGATATTGACGATCCTGTTATACTTTTCCTCTAGACTCTTTATAAAAGTGGAAGGAACTCTGTTAACCAGCAGAAGTGTTTCTTGTTTGCATTTTTAGCTGAACTGTGACTTCTATTACACAGTTTTCTTGTTCATTTGTTGTACTCATTCTCACTTCATTTCTTTACGATGTCATTTTCTTATTTGTGTGGTCCATATCTACCAACTTGTTGCCAATTTATAATTGCTTTTGTGTATCAAGTAAGTAAACAATTAATCTGAGTTGACATCATTTCATGGTGATGTAAGGTACATTGAAATCATATTTAACGAATGTGTCGAAAAGTGTATTGGTTTTTTCCAAATTCTTTTCTGATTCACACTTTGATTTATGATACAGTTAAAAAACTTTGTAAGTTCAATACTCGAATAATAATATAAATTATACCTTATGCTTATTTTCTCAAAAAGATTGACCAAATATCTTATTCTTTTATTGTTCTTTTGTAGTTTTGTTACAATGGTACTTGTAAAACAATCGATAATATTCGTCCACTGTATTCATGTTATTGCAATGGTCGTGGCGTAAGTTTATTGTTAATTAGATATTACTCTTTTTTTAAAAAAATATTATATAACATGGATCATTACTCGTAGATAAATAAATTCATTATTATTAGTAATAATATTATTGCAATTATTTTAAAATTTTCTTCAGTCATGTCGTACAAAAATATTCGCTTTCTTGTAGACAAAGAAACGAGATCTTAAAATATTATTTCACATTGGACTAATTAAAAAACACTATGTAATCATTTCTTTATTATGTTGTTGATTTTCTCGTGATATGTATATCGGGCAAAAGACACTGGGTTTAAATCTTAATGTGAACATTAACAATAGGATGCAGGCACATACAATCATCCTACAAGCCTCAAATAGGACGAAACCCTCGTTCTCGATTCCACAGCTAATCACAATTTTTCAATTCGGTAAAGTTCATGATATCCATGTATCAAATTATTTAAGTAGGAAAAACAAAATGAGCAGTAATTTCCAATTATCTAACAACGAGTGCCGTCTGTTTTCGAAAACAATTCTTACTTACGCCTGTTATCACTCGTGGAGCATAGGCCGCCAACCAGGATTCTCCAGCTGATTCTGTCTTCGGCTCTCCTTTCCAGTTGTCTTCAATTACTATTTATTATTTTCATATCTGCCTCCACGGTATTAAAGTACACGAGCAACGCTTCGTAGACACCTATGATCGAATACCAGTAACCTACGATTATCCTCTATTCTAAATAGCCTTTAAGAAATTAATAAAGTAACACAGAAGAAACTGCTACACAGTAAACTCCCCCCTTTGGTCGAGAGACGTACGTACGCGAAAAGTGAGGCAAGTTGATAAAAGCCAATAGAGCCTTCTTAATCGGTTCAGATACTTCATCATATGCAAACTAGTTGGTTGGGGTCCGCGTGACTATCGTAACCAATGGTTGGAGACTCTTGGCTCAGAACCGATCACAATGGCGTAGGTGTATACACTCTTTGTCTTCCCTTAAACTATGAGATTAAAATTGCTTCATATCTTTCATTCTACGAACCAATTCTTTCTTCCTGTACCATGTCCTTATATGCAATCTTTCTTTTATATATTACCACCACTGAATTAACTACTTCTATGAATCCGATGTTCATCTTGTTGTGTAATGAGATATGGCAACTTCGACCGATGCACATATATGCCTGGTCCTACGTTGTGATTGACTGACTGAGACCTCACGATCAAAAAAGTTGGACGCCGCCTTAAGGTCAAGGAGAAGTGTATCTGTGTTCCAGAACTTACCAAAGGATTAATTTTTTTCATCTACACATCCACGTCTAGGTCTGAAACCAGGCTAGTTTTGTCGGGAAGGCTCTTCATGAGCTCTGGTTAGATGCCGAAATATTACTGAGCCTAAACACGTTAAAGTTTCACCTCTTCTAGAGTTTCTCCATCAAGCGTGATTGGGTTGGTGTTCTCTGTGTTGTATTTCAGTATCTTGCATCTTCCCATGTGTATGTTGAGGCCTCCTAGTGTAGATGCTACTGCTGCACTGGTTGTCCTCACCTGCATTTATTGCTGTGTATGTGATAGAACAGCTAGGTCGTCTGCCAATTCCAAATCGTCTAGTTGCATCCAAAATGTCCATTTTATTCCGTGCTTCCCGTCAGATATCGAGGTCTTCATAATCCAGTCAACCACGGCAAGAAAGAGAAAGAGGGAGAGTAAGCAGCCTTGTCTGACTCCCGTCCTCACTTGGAATCCAGCTGTCCTACATGCACCACTTTGCAGCGTAGCCCGTCGTATGAATTCCAGATGATGTTGACTATCTTCTCAGGAACACCAAGGGAGGTGATGTATAGTGACGAGTTCCATCCAATTGATTGTTCAATGATGATCTGCAGTGTCGTGATTTGGTCTGTGCACGACCGATCCTTACGGAATTTAACCTGTTGGGCCTCCACTAAATCTTTCATTCGGTTCAATGGTACTCTATTAAAAACTTTTCCTTGTACCGATACTAGTGTGATACTCCGTAGTTTTCACATTTGCTGAGGTCTCCTTCTTTCCAGTCTATCGGCACTTGTTCTTCATCTCAAATCTTCCTGAATAGATCGTGAAGCATCTTCGCAATTGCTTCGATGTCTGACTTCAGTGCTTAAGCTAGTATGTTGTCAGATCCTGTGGATTTCCCACCCTTCATTTGTCTGATGGTCATCCTGATTTCTTCGATCGTTGATGGAGTGACATTTATAGGAATGTCTGTGACTTGAGAATCATAACTTCACGATATAAAAATTACAATATAATTTTAAAACTTTAGAGTCTAAGTGAATATGAATAGTAAATACATCTGAGCTATTAAGACTAATTCGGAAACAATGATTTATTTACAAGCTCTACTTTTACTTTAGTCAACATCGATTTATTCGTTTATATTCATGTATTCTGTTGTATCATAGATGTTTTTCACTGTAATAAGATAAATATTAACGGCTCAAAATAATCTTAATCAATTTCTGTGTCGGTTACAAAATGCTTGTTACATAAAATTATTATTCTGTCAATATATTGGTGATAATTATCTACCATCGTCATCAGTTTTAAGTCTTTTTTATATATTCAACATTAAACTTTTATTTGTTTAATAACCTTCTCGTTTACTTTTTAATTTAAACAGTTGATTAGTAAGTACCTCTAGCTTCCAAATAGTCTGTATAACTCATAAAATTTAATTTATGCGTTTATACTGCATTAAGAAAATACGATACCATTTGTTCTATTGTTAGATAGTTGTAGGCAGTTGGTAGGGATCCATAAACCTTAGTTTCACGCTCGTTGCCATTCGTCAACAAGGCATGCATACCAACTTGAGAGAATCATTAGGGATTCAAACCGGGATCATTTAGTTTCACAACCCTTAGGCGTTACTATTGAGTGATTTGGTCTGCATTTTTATCGATAAGCTTTTGTCGGTACTAATGATCAAGCAAACATGACTCACTAGCCATATCTTAGTGATCAGCCAATGTGCTTGTTTTATATACTATTCTACTATTGGATGTTATCAGTGATTTCCCTCTCTCACTTCGGTTCATCTTTTACCATTAAATTGTGTTTAAATTCCTCTATATCTTTTTTTCATTTTCAAATACCTTTATTACAGATTTGTAATAATTTAGGACATTGTCATTGTTCACCTGGTTATAAACCACCTTACTGTGAAGAAGATGGAAATGGTGGCAGTGTAGACAGTGGACCGCCTCCAATAAGTAGTAAGTCTATTAGTTCAAAAAAATGGTGACCCATTTTTCATTTCATCCAGCGTTAACTGAAAATAATCCGTGATTTTAAAAAACACTAACAACCAAAAACTTGTGAGAAATGAAATATTTTGTCAACTCATAATTATAAATTAGCTGGTCACTTGTCAATAGCATAAAATTTAAATAAGTGTTCACATCACATGGCCTTACCATTAATGCTCGATCATTATGGTTATTTACTTTGAAGAAGTGACTCATTAAATCACGAAACGTCAGGAATTCAGTTTTCTACTCGTTGGGATATCCCGAAAATATATTTGTCATTCATTTGGCTGTATAAATTTGGTATAAATCGTCCATTTCCAATACCTTAAGTAGGATGCAGTAAAATTTAATACGTTTGAATACTCATTATCTTGAAGTTTCAAACAATTATGCATCAGAATGCTGAGAAAGTGAAACAAAGTGGTAACTGGCCGGAAACTTACTTTTCACAGTAGTTTAGTCACTTTGTGCATTTACACAAATAATTGATTATATTCCATCTAGCTACTTGTGTCCATTTAAGTAGCTAAAATGATATTGGAAAAACGTTGTGGGGTTTAGCTGACAGTTTGTAAGTGGCTATCTATGTTAGATACTTGTATACTAAAGAAACTGGTTAATAGATAAAGTACTCAATATTTCTTAAAAAAAGCCTAAAGCAAAGCAACATTTGCCTAATCTTGGCAAATTTAATTTTCTTGGACGATAAAAATTAAAAGTTAAATAAAGCAAGAACAAATATTGATGCAGAATAGTATGAATTCATAATATTTCGAGGTTTCTCGTCAGCTGCTTACAACCAAATATCTTGAAGTTTCAAACAATTATGCATCAGAATGCTGAGAAAGTGAAACAAAGTGGTAACTGGCCGGAAACTTACTTTTCACAGTAGTTTAGTCACTTTGTGCATTTACACAAATAATTGATTATATTCCATCTAGCTACTTGTGTCCATTTAAGTAGCTAAAATGATATTGGAAAAACGTTGTGGGGTTTAGCTGACAGTTTGTAAGTGGCTATCTATGTTAGATACTTGTATACTAAAGAAACTGGTTAATAGATAAAGTACTCAATATTTCTTAAAAAAAGCCTAAAGCAAAGCAACATTTGCCTAATCTTGGCAAATTTAATTTTCTTGGACGATAAAAATTAAAAGTTAAATAAAGCAAGAACAAATATTGATGCAGAATAGTATGAATTCATAATATTTCGAGGTTTCTCGTCAGCTGCTTACAACCAAATATCTTGAAGTTTCAAACAATTATGCATCAGAATGCTGAGAAAGTGAAACAAAGTGGTAACTGGCCGGAAACTTACTTTTCACAGTAGTTTAGTCACTTTGTGCATTTACACAAATAATTGATTATATTCCATCTAGCTACTTGTGTCCATTTAAGTAGCTAAAATGATATTGGAAAAACGTTGTGGGGTTTAGCTGACAGTTTGTAAGTGGCTATCTATGTTAGATACTTGTATACTAAAGAAACTGGTTAATAGATAAAGTACTCAATATTTCTTAAAAAAGCCTAAAGCAAAGCAACATTTGCCTAATCTTGGCAAATTTAATTTTCTTGGACGATAAAAATTAAAAGTTAAATAAAGCAAGAACAAATATTGATGCAGAATAGTATGAATTCATAATATTTCGAGGTTTCTCGTCAGCTGCTTACAACCAAATATGTGATAAACTTTTTACATTGAGATAGTGTAAAACAATTGGCATAAATGAATGTACATGATTAGAATGACAAAGATTCACAATAATAACTATATATATATACTATATATATATGCTAATCATGTACATTCATTTATGCCAATTGTTTTACACTATCTCAATGTAAAAAGCTTATCACATATTTGGTTGTAAGCAGCTGACGAGAAACCTCGAAATATTATGAATTCATACTATTCTGTATCAATATTTGTTCTTGCTTTATTTAAATTCATAAAGGGAACTAACTGCATAAAATTAGAAGTGTTTTGAAGAAACTAAACTGCACAATTCCCCCACCTTAATTTAGTAATTTTTTTCCATTAATATACTTATATTAATTGTTCATTAGTGTAGGAATTGAGCGACTACCGATTTTGTGAAATCACTTATATATCCGCTATCTAAACTCATTTTACATATTTCGTTTTTTTACTTTCAAGGGATGAAGGATAACACATTACTTGTTGTAATATGCATGCTTTTCTTTGTGATTTTACCTCTCATTGGATTTGGCGTATACTATGTATTTATACGTTCTGGTCGATGTTTATTGAGCACATCAAAGGAGTTTATTTATACAAGTAGTGGTTTACGTAAACCATGTGATAAAAATTGTACAGAATGCTTTTGTCAAATATTCAGGTGAATTTTCTGTTTATTTATCTAATAATGTTATTCCACTGACTAATAATTAATAGACTCAAATATATATATATATATATATATATATATATATATCCCATTGAAAAGTCAATCAGTTTTAATCAACATAGAGCCCAGCACAAATGTATGTCAGTTTAAGTTGTTTCCATACCGTATCAACGCGGCTGGGTAAAATTGACAGAAAGAATAGAACGGAATCTAAATAATAGTTGTATCAGTGATAATGAGAAAGACTGAGCATCAGAGAATACTGTTAAGAAGGAAGGGATAAGTTCTAGAAGTGAAAAATATGAAATGATAGTGATAGTCAAGAATGAAATTAATATAAAAATTTACGCCACTGTGAAAGAGTCTGACCGATAGCACCCACTATATCCAACCACTGGTCACAGGTAACCCATGAACCCCAACCAGGTAGCCTACACCTAGAAATACGGCTCATTTAAACGGTCAAAAACTTCATAGATATATCTCATGTCTTAGTTTTTCTATCCATAGTTTTCTTACAACACCATTCCTAGGCTAACCAACTTTACACTTATAGCTAGGTGTTGACTGATGATGTGTAACACATGTGCCAGTTACCTTTTCCGATTAAGACTATCGGCCTTATCAATTCATTCACCTTATTGGAAAGTCTTCACGTAACAATTAAAAAGTAATTCCTGTAGGATTTTGGACTGATATTATATGGATAACTATTGGAAATCACAGCTTATCGGACAGACTTTTCTTCGGGATTCTTAGGAAGTACACACTAATAAACCCATCATGGGTCGAATTCATGAACTTTCATATCTCACAGTTCCCATACTACCATGGAATACTGAGTTACCACACATTTTTAACAACAGTGAATCCACTTTAGTTTATGACCTTTATTCATGCATACATACTTGAATATTATATTCTACTGTTGTTGTTGTTTTAAATAACAATTTTAGTATTTCTTTTCGTAACTTATTTCTTCTCATCCATTTACATATTTGAAAAAAAAATATTTTCCAGTTTCCTAGCATCTTTCACAGAACTATTCACAAGATCTAGTCGTACAACAGTAATCGATGGTAATAATACAATCATTATATCAATTAATCATCATCATAACAACAAATTATTATTTAGTAGGGTTAATTTTCATCTATAAAGTTCACATTGATATACTGATCGATTTATTCCATGATGATATCAAGTTGGAATTCACAGTTCTTTCATTTATTTAAATAAACAATGATTGTATTTTAGTGAAAATAACTTATCCTATACACATTTTTCGTTCGGTTCATCATCCGTGATTTGCATGCTGAAATAATTTATTTTTCCCATTCATTCATTCATTGATGGTTGATTATATATGTATAAAATTTCTTCTCACTCCTTTTTAGAAATTCAATTCGAAATATTACTTTTTCATAACGTTTTTCTACTACAATATTCTGATGGATCTATTTAGTAAATCGTAATCAACCTAGGACCTGGCACAAAAGTACGCCAGCCGAAGTAGCCATTCCTTATTAACACGGCAAGATGAATAGCAAAAGAGATCGAAATAATGTACCATTAATAATAGAAAAGACTGAAAATTGTATTCTAAAAGATGTGCATCAAGGAATATTAAAACTTAAAATCTGGAGAAAGATAAAGAATGCTTGAACTTGCGTCATTGTGACTTCTAACGTGGATTGAGTAGGGTTTGAGCACTTAGGAGTTATACTTTGTTCATTAAGCCATCGTTGAGATATTTTCTTATTTTTCAGTAGCATACAATAAATATAGGAAAATAGAAATCAATGTTGACTGAATCAATTTTCTTAGGGTTCCAGTTTTAAAAGAAACCTATTTCTTTTTTACATTTCAAAATATGAGAAACTAAGATTTCGATTTCATTATGCCATTTTAACTATAAACCAATGCTAAATATATTATTACCGGATATAAAACACATTTTATAATTAGACAACACATTACTTTCAACCAAGACGTGAGTAAATCGTTTTTCGATTGTTCCCTAATTGCAAATATTGTTTTCTATTCCTTGTTTAAAACATCCTACAACATTAAAACTGACCTAATCTGTAATCTTCAATTTTAAAATATCACGGTTTATTACCCGACTTTCTCATGTGATTCGATTTAAACATTAATTTTGTCGTTATATTGTAATTTCAAGGTATTGGTTTAATTTCATAATTTATAAAGCATTAGTATCCAACTGTGATTGCATGGGGAAACGTTGTGGTGGATGTTCTTTTTGAAAACTTATGGGAATAATAATTACTACCATTCCGTCTTTTTTCTCTGCTTAGACATGACAAAGCCAAAAATTCAAAACAAAGTGATAGACTTGAAAAACCGTACCCCTTACTTGCATTCGCAGCCACCGATCCAAAAGTCACAGAGAATAAAGAATTCATCAACGGTCAAACCAATGGTTACTGCAATGTCACATCCAACGGTAAATTATCAAACGGTTCTTACAGACCAGTCAAACCAAAAACAGTCAGCTTTGAACCAGTGCCCTCGAAGAAAACAACTTCCAATTTCAGTGGAGTCGAAACAACTTGCTCACAAAACACCTTATTCACTAGTCCATCAACAGAAAGTAGCACAAAAGCAGCAAACAAATATCACCGTACAGGTTCGAAAAGAGAAATTCCAACTTTAATTTCTAGAAATGGTACAGTTTTGAAGTATATAATAAGATAAATGCTGCGAAAATCCCATAATATTTAAATTAATATATCCAGAAGAGTAATTTTTATCACATATTATATATATATATATATATACGCCTCGCAGTGTGCAACTCTGAAATAATCACACTCGATAAACATATTAGCAGTTACAATAGAATGGGAGAAGTCTAGATCTAAGCTTATGAAATAAAATATTATATTAATTATGAGACATATAAGGTTTATTTGACACTTCCAAAAATGTGACTTTGATTTCAAATAAAAACAAATTACTACAATAGTAAACAGCACCTGCTAATAATTAAAAAGAAATACGTTTTTAAACTATGCTGATGATAAGAAACATTCTTCTTTCGAGGAAATAAAGTTACAATAAGATTTTAAGCTTCAAAATACAATGAAGTACTCATTTTAAGAATGAGTGACATAAAACGTTCTATTGTATAATAGCAACTAAAAGAGAGAAGAAAATGATGAACATGTGCAATAGCAACAACGTCTTGTCTAATTAAAAAGAAACATTGAAATTCAGTAGAATAAAAAGAGTTATTGATTCTTACTTACTACCCTTTCTCTTTCCTTTAACTCATGACGTAAAGTAATTCCGTAGTTGATGAAAGGTAAGATAACAAAATATGGCTTGAAACACGTATTCGATTACAGAATAGAAATATCAAAAGCCTATGGTTTTATGCTTTTTAAATGGGAGAGAAAAGGTACATTAATTTGTTTAAAAAACATTGTACAACAAAAGAAATAAAGGAAGTGAACTACATTCAATTAAAAGAAATCTGTTTTTTAATCAGTAACTCGGATTTATCTAAAGGATTCTCAATTGTTAGACATAGAAATAAGTTGATTATTTCACTCAGTCTATTCAAAAAGATAACATCTCACCTAATGATCAATTAATTTCTTCTTAATAAATTGGTAGCCCCCAAATGCCCTGGTATGGCCGAGAGTGGGGAGAGTCCACTCTCCCTCTCGAAATGCTCTCACATGGCCACACGTATACAGCCTCAGTCAGGGAAGTCCTACTCACTGCCTTCTCGTGGCGGGGGTGTTGTTTACGAAAATGAGAGGACGAAAAGCGAATGTCCGGCGCTATAACCGGATCTCAAATCAATGGTGCACATGGGCTCCAGTATCCTACGGGAACAAATGGCGTATGAACCGATTTCTTGGTCACCGGCTTCCATGGGACTGCATCTCCTCACGATGCTCCACTGCCTTGTGGGTTAGACCTTTAGGTCGAAGGCTTGGGGTGTGGCCCCCTAAGAAAACCACCTGCTTCGGTCCGGGCACACAGGCAGTATCACAGCCCGCACACAAATATAATGAAAATGATCTTCTCTGAAAACTCGGTTCACGCTGCGATTTAACTTCAAACAATGGACATTATTATTATTATTATTTACCACGTCATTTATTCACTCTCTTTTATTTCCACTCTATCTATCCTTACTTTTCGACTTATACAAGAGCTCGCCTATGGTGGACATTCGGCTCTATCTAAACGTTCTCGAGTCACTGCCTGGTTGAAAATTGTATGTTACCATCGAATATGAGTACTGAAGTAGTCTTTCTGAAACCACGCGCACCATTCAAACTGGCTGCCTTTAACGTTCGAACACTTATGCAGGTCGGACAACAGATAGGGCTGGCTATGTCTTTGGAAAATCTTAGTATTGACTTGAATACTCAGGTTGGGTGTCTAGGCACAGAAGAGAGTCGTTTAGGTGGCCGATGGGGACTTGTTGGTCGCAGGACAGATAACGGGGAACGTCTACTGCAGTTATGCACAGACCACAACCTGTTTCTGGCTAGCAATAACTTTCGGCACAGTCATCGCCGATGTGCCACCTGGCGTTCCTCTTCTACATCTCAAGCCTGGACTCAGATTGATCACATCGCGATCAGCTACCGCTGGCGTGGTTGTGTATAAGACAGCCGCTCCTTTTGGAGTACCTATCTGGACTATGATCATGCTCTGGTCTGTGCCGATCTTACCTTACTTTTCAGCGGACAACGAAGTGACCGCCACCAAAGGATTGATGTTAGCAAGCTGGTTGCAACTTCCGTTGCTAGTAAGTACCGAACCGAGCTAGCTTCTAGGCTAGCTACCACTCCACCGAAAAATATAGATGAGCATTGGTTGCAATTGCATGACGCCATCAAAATGGCGAGTAAAGTCGCTTGCGGCTTCGCGAAACGTCCCGCTTACAAGCACTGGGTTTCTTCTGGTTCCTTACAACTGATTGAAGCCCGTCGATCTACTCCGGGTGACCGTGAGTTTGACCACAGACGAAGGATGTTACGTAACGAAATCGGGCAAAGCTTGCGTAAGGACCGAGAAGCCTGGTGGTCGGAGCGTGCTAATGAGCTGGAAGCAGCAGCTGCATCTGGTAACTACCAGGAGCTCTTCCAACTCATCCGAGCCACTAGCAGCAAGACGTCTAGTGTGAGCGAAACAATCTGCGAGAATGACGGGATGCCAATCACTAACATCCATCGACGTCTTGGACGATGGGCAGAATTTTTTGAAAGGCAGTTCAACTGGCCTGCTGCTCCGGCAACATCGGTCAGACTGTCCTGCCCTCCATGGCCGGTGACGACTGATCCACCAAATGAGGCGGAAGTCCGCAAGGAACTCCAACTTTTGAAACGTTACAACTCACCGGGCCCAGACGGCTTACCTCCGGCTCTTTTCAAAGATGGTGGTGACTTTCCGACTAAGGGACTGACGACGTTGTTTACAAAGGTCTGGGAACTAGAGTGTGTACCAACGTCATGGAATGAGTCGGTAGTTGTCTCTATCTTGAAAAAGGGTTCACGTTGTTCCTGTAACAACAATCGGGGGATAAGTCTACTTCCGATTGCGTCCAAGCTATTGGCTTCCGTCATACTTCGTAGGTTGTTCAGAACCCGAGAAGGATTGACTCGTGAGGAGCAGGCTGGGTTTCGTTCCGGTCGAGGATGTATTGATCATATCTCCACCCTCCGCCAAGTGTTAGAACACCGCCATACTTATCAAAGGCCAACAATCGTAGTGTTTCTTGACATCAGGGCTGCCTTCGATTCGTTGGACAGAACTGTTCTCTGGGATTGTCTATTGAAGAAGGGTGTGCCTGAGAAGTTTATTAACACCTCAGGCAGAGTGAGGGCATACAACCACCTTTCTCCACTATTCCATTCAGGCAGTGGGGTTAGGCAGGGTTGCCCAATCTCACCATTCCTCTTCAACTTTGCCATCGATGACATTCTGGAAACAGCTCTGATGGATGTAGGTAATGGTGGTGTGGATCTGTTGCCTGGAGAAAGACTTCTCGACCTTGAGTATGCGGATGATATTGTCTTACTGTGCGAGAATGTTCAAGCCATGCAATCCGCATTTAATCAGTTGGCAATCAGTGTCCGTAGGTATGGTATGTACTTTGCACCTTCGAAGTGCAAAATACTTATGCAAGACTGGCAGGATTCTAATCCTGTACTCACTAGATGGTGATTGGAGGTAGTCGACAGGAAACCCTGGACCCGGGTTTCGTGCTACTTGGCACTCGTCAGCAAGGTGTACCTGTAATCTTTGAGGGAACTGGTGCTCCCTGGCGGATTCGATCCCGTGTCACCCAGCTTCACAGTCAGAGATGTTACCACTGAGCTATCCGGGCCGCGACCAACTCCTGTAGGACTGAGATGTAATCACAATTGATTGATCACTGGGTGGTGACCAATGTCATGCTTGTCTAGTCCTTATTATTAGTGCAGATCGAATGCTATCGACCATGTTGCAATGTGACCCGGCCAGTGACTTTATACATGACCTAATGAGAGCGTTTTAAGAGGGAGAGTGGACTTTCCCTACTCTCGGCCGTATCAGAGATTTGGGGGCCCAAAATGGATTACTAACCCAAAACTTATGCTTGATCTTTTTCCATCTTAAATGTTACAAGACGAAACGTATGATATTCTTCTGCGTGTAATTTAATTAATTAATTTCTAACAGTAGTATTCTAATACTTTTATTTAGATAAAAATTGCATCATCAAGGAAGATAGTAAAGTAACAATCCCAACTAGTCATCTGAAGTTTACTAAATTCGATAGTCAACATCTCTCCACCGCTTTTGAACATCAACAACATTTACAATCGAACAGTACATCCATAAATCCAACTACATTCATTTCAGAACCACGACTTGAAACAATGACTTATGAAGGACCGATGTGTTCTTTAAATGATCCAGTTATAATTAATACATTACAACGTAAATCTAAAAACACACTTGATAATCAATCGAAATTTGCTTCATTTACTAATTTTCAATCATGTATTAATAAACAAAATTCTCAACAGAAAACAATCACTAATCAACACCTTACAACGCAACCACTGACAACAACAGTTGTAACAGGTGGACGTCAACCACTTTCATCGAAAGATATATCAGAGCCATTATTACAAGCAACTACATATAACGAAAGTTTATCAGATCTAAAAACAGCTAGACTGAGATTATCACAGAAAGAATTTGAACTTTGATTATTATTTTCGGTTAGTCGTCTGTCCGTTGATGGGTTTCTCACACTTATTGTTTAGAATTCTGATCTATTTTCATTAAATATTGTTCTCTTGCAATTCATTCCAATAGAAAATGAATATATTAATAATAAGCGAAATATCTACTATGAGAAGTAAACATTTACATTGTAAGAAATACACCAATATAGTTATTATTTTCAATAAATGTGATAATCTAGTCGTGTTGCTTTTTTGTGGTTTTGTTTTATCTTTCTTTATTCGATTTGGATTGTATTTATTTAAATAGTAATAATTCATTTATTAATATTAGTTGATCAACTCTCTTGAAAAGTTGACGTATAGTTGGATATTCCAGACCGAATTCAACTCAGGCTGATAGAGATTATTATGCAAGTGATTTTGTTTTTATAAAAAATAATTTCTTGTTTTTGTGTGTGTATTTGCTGATGTGATGAATTTCGCTATCTTGTTCTTATATATCTAACACGATTCTGTTGTATACAACTAACTGTTCTAATTATCTTCCAATCAACATTCATTGTAATAGTATTATTCTGGTGTGAAATAACCTGAATGTTCTTTTTAAAGTCCACTTTACTTATAGAACTAATGGAAATAATAATCAATTGGTTATCAGTGATATAGACATTTATATATTTGCCTATGTATGTCATTATTGTATTTCTCTTAGGACTTTCCGCTTTTAATGTGACATGCTACATACAAAAATTAGTAAAAATGTCATTTAAATTCTTGCCTTCCTACTTTTCAAATATTCCCTAATTGCCTTTTTTGTTACAAAAATATTTATTATAATGTATTTAATAAAAGTATTTTCAAGCAATTCAATGAGTTATTACATGTGTACTGAATGAAATGGTAGAATTTACAAGTCAACGATCGTTATATGACACATAAATAGTGATGTAAACAAGTTCAGCTACCATATTTGCTTATTTATTCTTTTTAATTATGATGATGATACGTGACTTCATGCTCAGGTTTTATTTTTTGATCTTATATTTATGTGTAAGCGAAATTATTTTACCTCCTTAGTCGCCTTCATCAATAACCGAACTATATATATATATATATATATATATATATATATATATATATATATATATATATGAAGTCGTGTTTTGATTTTTTTTCACTACCACTATATTAAACACATAGACCCTCGAGAGTAGAAATAGAAAATATTTTACACCTTTTTCTCAAATAAGTATCTTTGTTGTCAACAGTGTGCAATTTGAGAAGCAAAAATGAAATATTGTCTATTTTTTAGCTATTTGTATTCTTTAAAACAAAACTGATTATTCTCTCAAGTGTTTATTACATTCATTGTTTTGAACAAGATCACGAATACCACCAGTCTGAAAACATGAGGAAGAAATACAAAATAATCACAGTACGTAAATTATTCAAAAATGTCATGTTTGTATCGTTGAATAATAAGTATTTATTATTTTAATTAATAACAAGAGATAAAAAATATTTCTAACAATTATGTAATCGTTGTTCGATAGAAAAGCATCAATATAAAATTTAATTCGCAACGATATATATGTTCATGTCGTTACATCATGTTACCGTTAATGCAAAACTTAGTTTGTAACTGCACAAATCTTTAAACATTTAGAAATTATCCAATGCATATAATTTTTTGCTATATTGAGAACAGATACATAAAATCGAGTTTTTCACACTTCGATTTTCAGTTTAGTCGCTTTTTTTAATACTCGTATTATGTGATTTTCTCATGTATACTGCGCGATTTAGTTTTAATCTATCACTTCTTAAAATTATAGCGAAACGGTTGCTTTAATGTGATCATAGCATTCATCTTTCAACTACTTTTTAGATTTGAATCCCACAACACGAACTATTACTGGCTCTCACAAAAAAGTGTAACTCAAAGCAAAATACTCAAACGTATACTTCATGAATGAGTTACATCAAAAAGAGGAATAATAATTCTTAATGTGAACAGCAAGATGAAGTGAGATTAGACTGTTGGAAGAAACAACAATACCATATAATGACGCCACATATTTGATGGTAGTAAATAAAAAGCCTTTATTCGGTTACTTTATTACATTTCTTCCTTGATCAATAAATACCAATCATCACTGAGGAAGCCATCACCATAATGTTTGGTATAAAAAAGTATTTATAAATTAAAAGAATAAGTGTAGCGTAATTTTACACAGGTGTTTGTTAATAAATACAAAGTTCAGCTACATCTACAAAATTAGGTCTCAGCACTACTACAAGCACTAATAATCCAAGAAAATATTATGTTAACCTACTGTAATTTGATAATATCCAACACCATATGGTCTTCCAGGATGTTTCAACAGTTTTACTTGACGAATACCTGTAGTTAAACGTGTCAAAAAAACACGGAGAGAACAAATATGCCCCCAACTATCTCCAAGTGCAGGTACTAAACATGAATTTTGATCATTTCTGTATTGTTCTTTTCCAAATTTCTCTTCTTCTATAACACAATCAAATTGTTCTGAATTCAAATTTTTTGCATCGAATTTAGTTGTAATTTGATTTGTCAGAATAACCTGAAAATCATAAACTAAATGTAATTAGAGTGAATGAAATAAACGAAGTACAAATCCTAATAATTTTTATTTAAGAAGCAAAAATACACTAGCAAAGCGTTGTATTTCCAAACATTTGATATGGATGTTCACATAAAGCCAATAGTCAAACATGATTGTTACATATGAATTCATCCACATCAACATAGGTGAAATGCACTGTAATACACGATAAATCAAACGAGTAATGCGTTAAAAATAGCTGAGAAGTTCAAATGTTAATTGTCAATCTCCTCGATGATGCAGTGAGAAGACGAAGTTTATTATTGCATTATCTAAATTTATCAAAGGGACTAATTGTCAATCTTTTGTATGTACAAAAGATGTATAACTTATTGAGAAGAATTTAAAAGCAAAACGACCTCCGAAGATTTGTTTTAGTTACGAAACTGGGTCAGTCAATCAAATAACGACTCAATATGCCGAGTAAAGATTTAGCCTGGCAATCGGCTATTTGGATTTTACTCGTTGCTAAACGACCTAAAGTAAACCTGTACATTACAATTGTTTACGTTTAAAGTGACAATTACGTATAAATGCTATTCGTAGCCCATATTTTGCATGTTATTTTTCCATTTAACTGGGAAACTTCTTCGCTTGTCAGTTCTTTTTATTCTTTTCAAATCCGTTCATCAGGCGGATGCTATGAGTCGTAAGTGTTATTTAGTGAGTAATCGCCACCAGGCTAAACTATGCACATTAATTCAAACGACAAGTTCTACTTAAGGTCGATCGCAGTCAGAAAACTGTCTTGATTCTTCAAGATGTTTGTGTATGAATACACATAAACAATAAGTGGTTCTACGGTAATTAGCTTACGGTAAAAAAATTCACTGAAGGTGACTAACTCAGCAACAAAAAAGGTATCAATCAATGAGGGAATTCGGTTTACGATTAAACAAAGAAATGCAAGTATGAAAATTGTTTGATAAAAACTTAGTTACTCATGAGTAGTACAATTATGACATACAAATCACGCATATCAACATTCCATGTAATTTCCGTCCTCTCTAGCATAACAAGTGATAAAGAAAATTACCTTTCCGTAATAGTGAACAAACAATTTAACGAATGGTGATCATGGACTTATTATATTTTAATTAAACTCACTTTAACAGAACAAAGTGGTGAGCAATGAATTTAGGCATGAATAATGTCTTATTGTAAGAATGATTTTAAGAGTAAGTGAAGCATTATCTGATTATGTGTAAATCACTCACTGAAAGTTGAGTATTTACTCTTCCTAACAAGATTGATAATTAAAGCGACAATCGAAATATTCAAGATAAAAAAAGCATATAAATAATCCAATAAACCATAGTGTATATTTATTTACTGGGATGAGACTAGAATAACGAATTCGCCAAGAATATACCATAAACATTGAGATGACTTACCGCAGCCTTTTGACGCCCAGCAACACATAGTAACATTTGTGTTACACTTGCCAATAATCTATTGCGTTGAGGAATATCGTCAAAATCGTAACGAAATGGGAGAGCGATACTGTCAACCACAATCAGTCGAATCTGAAATAAGATTAATAAACGTTTGTAGCTAAAATCAGTTATATCAGAGTTGATTAATTTCCCTAAAAAAAGTAAAGGACCTCTTCACCGAATAAATTTTTCTCTCTTGATATTTCAACTGGTGATTTCCCTTAATTTAAATACGAATAACTTCAAAATGTTAAAAAACCAACTATAATTGGTTGTTATTTCGCACTGAATTTAACATTTGATATATGAGAATCCATTGGTATATTCCAACCCTAAAGTAGTCTAGACTACCTTAACTTGTGAAATAAATCACTTCCATCGATAGAAAATAGAATAAATTCAACACATTTAAGATCATATACATAATAATAAATTACCAAAGGATGTTGGTCACAAAATTGTTCTAAATGTCGACAAACAGCTAATAACTTCAAATGATCAGTTATTCGTATGTAGTGAATTCCAGACATTAGACTCTCAACAGTTGGGCAATATTGTTTAATGAAAGATTCATCTGTTCTTTCTGGATCTGTTAACAAACAAACATAATAATACTAACAGTTATAAAATATTTGAGAGGTTTACATAACTTATGAGAATTGAGTCAGTGAAAAACAGGTGAATTGAAAGATGATTTCAGCATACATAAAATAACAATTAGCTTAGCGAAAGTTGTGTAAAAGAACATAAAAGTTTATTGACTGCTTATTGTTAGATATAATAGTCAATTTTATTGATTTTGTTAATCCTATAGCTTAATTGCTGAATAATATTCAATTAAATATTACATCCATCTCTTTCGAAATATAACCTGTGATCTATAAATGCTGAAGGGTCCAGTACTACAAACCATCGAAAAGCTTAACCGATCACGAAAAACACAAAAATGTGGATATGAAGAGGTTTCATGCAAAACTGGTTTACTGTGCAGTCAATTTTCATCATAGACTGATCCCATTCAGGATACTGTTGAAAACCAAGGAGCACGTACAGCTCCTTAATCAAGTATGGATCCCCTTGATGAAATTGTACCACTAGACGCTAACATAGCAGTTCAGGGTTCACTGTGAGGCCGAAAGGGGTTCGATCCCGTACGAACACAACTGAGGAGCCCGATACTAGGACAAAACAACTATCCAATGCTCCTTGGTTTTCAATGGTACTTCAAATGATATTAACATATGATGAATACCAACTACAAATGAAATTAGTAGTAAAATGCCATCTCACTTGATTTAATATAATGATGTTTACAATGATCTGCCAATGCAGAAGCTATTTGTCGAACACGTTCAGGTATGAAGTTTCCTTCAGTATCTAGAAACAAAGCTTGCCCATTGAGACCACTGAACCATTTGGGAATTTGTACATTAACACAAGCTTGAAGACTGTCAAGACCGTAAATTAAATAAATAAATACATTAATTTCGAAAATAATCTAAAATATTTTTTAATTAATATAGAAGTTGCATTAATGATAAATGTATAATATGATATTGATTTACTTTCAAGTGATATGATAGGAGAGAATATTTTATTGAAAATTTAACGGGAAAGATATTACAATATTTGATAATTTGATGGTTAGCATAGAGGATTTGTGGAGACTGCTGAAATTTATACCATGAATTACGAATCGACAATAATTAGACAACCATTTGAACTAAGAAGCACTATACATGTGCTTCTTTCTAGTACAGAACTCCTCAGGAGTTCAAATCCACGACCCAACTGAGAATCGAGCCCCTAAACTTGCTATATATCGCAATGAACACACAAATTTTAGACCACTAAGCTGGCTTATATTTCTAAATTTATTATTTCATAAGAAATAATAGCAAACCAAAATTTTTTACAATAGTAAAAAATACCAGAATTTTAAATCGAAATCGACTACAATTGTAACAGTTATTCAATTAAAGTAAAATCATTTAGTTATGAAACATTTTGATGTACTTTTTTCTGTTTTGAACATGTCATCTAAAGTAAAAATAAAAATGATGAATTACTAGATAGTCATTCTGTCCTAATCCAGGACTCATGTACTGGAAACTCATAAATGCAGTACGGATAGTCCTGTAACATAAACGATCACAGGATTCTACTAGTTCAATATAGTTTGATAAGGATATTTTTTACGATTGTTTCATGAAACAGTGTGTACATCACACAAACTAACAGTCATTGAAAAGCCTTCTGATAACATTGATATTATTTGCCCGATGATAAATATTACAAACATTATCATTGTGTTACTCCATCCATGATCCATCGACCTCTTACAAAATAAATCAAATATACCAACACAGTTATTGAAAATTTAACTGACTTATATTGATTAATCATGTTTAGTTAAAGGAAAAGTATACTTAATCTAAATTTCTAATGAAATCTATAGCATTCTATGTAACCTCTGATGGTGGATTATTGCAAAAAAATATATATATTGAATTTTCTTTCTATATTAATTATCAATATTTGACGTATTATTACTTAAACATTAAGCCTGATATTAGTATAACATATTTAAATGAAAAAGAAATAGTTCCTCATAAATGCAATGAATAATCTTCAAGAGAATAGATCTACAAAACCTGTAACCAGCAACAATATTCAAAAAAAAAAAAGAATGATTACATCAGATTCATAACATTATATCCATCAATTCATAATCTATGTATAAAAGACTTTATTTATTATTCTTTAAAAAATTTTTCACGATTCAATTCTACTTTATACTTAATATAAAGCTAAATATGATTGGTGTTAAACGCTTGAAATAATTCAATATACCTGTAATTTAATTTTAATTAATACTTGTAGTTTATGAGAAGAGTCTCTTTTTTTCAGTTTTCTTAAGCCTATTCATAGTGTCTGTTTGTCTATAAAGTCTTATTTTACACAAGAGAAAAATACAGACCAGTTTTTGTTGTTGTTGGAGTGGATCAATTTAGTGTAAAGAGAGAAAAAATAATTTTCCACTGGTTATTTGCAAAAAAAACAGAAATCTAACTTCTAATGAATAGTTTTAACAACATAATAAACGTCAGTCACAATGAAAAACTAGACACGTAGATTCAAAGTCTATTGATTCTTGATTTCTATGAATAAATCAGCATTGTCTACTATTAGGACACTGGTAGATTCACATTGGTACTGGGAATCAATGTAAAGGGTTATTGCTCATTATTTAACAGTTAATTATGTTTGTGAACACTTGAATTCAAAACATTCAGTCAGTCAGTTACAACGTAGGACCAGGTACATATATGATTCGGTCCAAGTTGCCACACCCCATTAGCACAGCAAGACGTACATTGGATTCATTGGATTTGTATTTACTTTCTTTAATAGTTCAACGGTATTTTAGAATAACTTGAAACTACAAGTTATTTGGTTAAAAAATGTAGAACAAATAACTCAACAGATTATATACACGTAACTGATCAATTCTTTTAGAAAGTTCATAAAAAACTCAAGAACTGGTCATTAGTTAATGACTTAAGTGGTGAATCTTATCGAACAAGCTGCACAACAAAGAACCTTAACGAAACGGAATAAAATTACTTTATCGTTTGCATGAATGGATGGTTAGCTAAACTTCGTAGACCATTTCAACGATTGGTTCTTAGTGTCAATATCAAATTACTTGGATCAAAAACCAAACAGGAAAACTTGAGTAAGATGAATCGATCACTGCAGAGAGTTAGGTGCTGAAATTATTACATAAACAACCTGTTCATGAATATAATTTAGTTCCAGAATGCTTCATTCAAGGTTTAGAACGCATAAATATAGCGTGCTTAATTAATTTGCAAGGGTTGACACCTTGTAGGAATCATGACGTTTCCCAAAACTATCGAATAACCTTACTGATGAATTTTACTATATACTAAACCGCTAACACTACACGAGAAACTTTGAGAAATTCTATGCACATATTAATCACATACTCATCATGTCTCTTATCTGTATAGTCAACCATAACTTTTTATATTCAACTATTAATAACACTTAAAGTAATTCATGCTGTCAAACTATCGATGATCGTCAAATAAAAACCCAAATAATATTGCTTTTCTTTGTTTTAATTCATCAAAAAGGAACATACTATCAAATTGAAAAAATCAAATATCAGTCAGTCAGTCAGTCAGCTGCAACGTAGGACCAGGCACGTATATGCATCGGTCCAAGTTCCCATACCGCATTAGCACAACAAGATGAACACCGGATTCATAGAAGTAGTTAATTCAGTGGTGGTTATATATAGAAGAAAGAGTGTGTATAAGGAGATAGTAAAGGAAGAAAGAATTAGTTCTTAGACAGATATGAAGCGATTTTAATCTCTTAGTTTAAGGAAGACAGAGAGTGTATACACCGACGCCATTGTGATAAATTCTGAGCCATGTCACTAAGAGTCTCCAACCATTGGTTACGATAGTCACGCGGACCCCAACCAGGTAGTCTGCATCTACCAACATGGCTCAGAACAGAAGTTAGTGACTTCAAGCACTGATGCCACGTTTTGGTTTGGCCGCCCCTAACTTTCTTCCAGTCATCCCTAACACCGGTTACCATTGCGCGTCGTGGTAATCGGTGTTCAGGCATACGCAGCACGTGGCCCAACCATCTCAGTCGATGAGATTCATAACCTCATCAACTGATTTACCATCATTCCCTAATACCCTGCGTCTAACCTCACTATTACTTACCTGGTGATCCAGCAATATTTCTAAGGCACCTGTGGTCAAATACTAGTAACTTACGAATATCTTCTACTCTTAAAGGCAAGTTTCGCAGCCGTATAGTAGAACGAAACGAACTGACGCGCAGTATACTCGTCCCTTAATTGATAGACGGATATCTCGCCTTCGCCATAGATAACGTAAGTTGGCAAAGGCCAAGCGAGCTTTTCGAATCCGTGCTGAGATTTCGTCAGACACCAACCCATTAGGGCTGATCAGACTTCCAAGATAAGTGAAGTTGTCGACGCGTTCGACTACTTCACCCCCTATCCTTAGTTCAGGTGTTGACGCAGATCAGTCCTGAAGCAACAACTTGCATTTGGAGGGAGAGAAGCGCATCCCAAACATCCTGACATTGTTGCTCAGTGCTACCAAAAGACTCTGCATTTCATCAGCGTCTTCACCAAACAGGACTATGTCATCTGCGTATTCTAAGTCAATAAGTGGACCTCCTGGTAGGAGATCAATACCTGAGAATTCAGTCGATGAGAGTGTTATTTCCATCAGTAGATCTATGATGAAGTTGAACAAAAATGGAGAAAGTGGACAGCCTTGGCGGACGCTATATATATATTTTAAACATAAAAATCAAATATATGTTTAATAAAGTAACAAAGATAATAATACTAATAGACAAAAGTCGAAGAATAGAGAGTTAAGAAAGAAATTATGCAAATCTGAACTCAGTACTAGTGAACATATAAATAAATAGCAGAGAAAGTACTATTATGAACTTGAAAAATATTATAAAACAATTCCAATTTTTACCGTTAGGTTTACGTTTTTCTTTAAACGGTAACAGAGTAGCAGAATGCAATTGAATATGATAAATTTATATGCTGGAATAGTTTTGTATTTTAGAATAAGCTTCTTCAAGAAGGGGAAGTAAAAGCTACAAAACGCCACATTTGCATGTAAATAAACTATTTTATTTTAAGATGTTTTGTGGAGAGTGAGAGAGAGATGGTTTCTGTCCCATAAATAACGAAATTATTCGTGAACAACTAAGTCAGACAATTCTACAGAAAAATAGTAAGCTGCCTATGATATTACCTCAAGATCGAGGCATATTACTAACAAAATGAGTTTAAAAATTTCAGTTATTTGACTATGACTTCGACAAATAGAACTTCTAGTGCTCTTACGGAGACTTTTAAATTCACAGTCCAATCTTGTGTATAGTCGTTAATCTATTACCCGATTTTTATTTGTCTCACTACATCGTTTTTTATCATCTAGAACGAGTTAGTAGGTAGACACACTTGTTTGGATGCACATAATAGCGACTTGGAACACGTAAAATATATGAATTGTAATTGAATAAAAATAATGACACTTTTGGACTGTTTTTGTTTATTTTCTAGTAGTAATCAAGCTTAAACTATGTTTTTCTTTAATGTCTAGTTAATATGTATATATATATATATCATTATTTTCAACTCTCTGATTCTTACTATTTCCTTAACTGATGTTAATTTGTGTTGAAAATCACTAAGAAAATATCCACAGTTAACATTCTTCCACAATCCGTTAATTATTATTATATACTGGAAATTGTGAGTAAAACTGATCGAAATTAGAAATGCAAGGCGTTAGATGTCAAATTAGTAGTCTACAAGTTTAGTGATCACCACGAGACCTGAAAGATCATTGGTTCGATCCTCAGTAATGTGAATACATACTAGGAAAAAAATAGTTATCCATTGCTTCTTGGTTTTAAATGAATGTCAAAATAAATTCACTCCGTGGTATAAACTATGAAATTTCGATAATGTAATAAGACAGAGATTATCAGAACTATGTGATATATTAGCGTAATACATTTCGAACAACCTGATCAAACACATACTTGTTAAAAACATTTATAAATAAAAATAAAAGGTCAACTAAACTGGAAATGGGGTAAGAGGAGACAAGGATATTATAAGAGTAATAATAATAATAATGTGAACACAATTTGAAACCTAATCACTCTGGATAATAAGCCAATATTACCAGGGTAGGTTTAAGGTGAGAACAAACTGTTTTTGAATACACAAAGAGGGTTTGAATTTTCGTATGGCTAAGGCTTCAATAAACCTTAGTATACGCCCTTTTACACCTTTATACAACACCACAAAAGATTGATCTTAAAATCAATCTTATGACCTGTTCAATTATATATTTAGCAATAGGGGATGATGGATGTTTATCCCCTACTCTTATTGGGTCACTTGATTCTATTTGTTTCTGCAACCATTTTGGTACACGTTCATACACCCTAAGTTTGAGATCACGATTGCTCCTCCCTATGTATGTGTAACCACACACACATTTAAATTGATAAACACAATGGGATGTGACACAATCGTTTTCATGACTTTTGGATTTCGGACGAAGTATGCATCTTGTTCTTTCTGTGATAATACGTTTTGTTGATGACTGATTTAAGCCTTTGTTTCAATAAAACGCTATGTAAATGTTCTTAACAAGTATATGTGTGATCAGATTGTTCGAAATGTATTGCGCTAATATATCATCACATAGTTCTGATAATCTTCGTCTTCTTATTACATTATCGAAATTTATCAAAAGGACTAATTACTTTAAATTATAAAACACCAAAACATATTATTTAAATATTACAGAAACAGAGAGCTTTAGTAAATTGTCCAAATAATATCTCATTAAAATGTTTATTCTATAAATATTTCAATTATGAATTATTAAATAGATCTTCGTAAATACTGAATATTCAAGAAAAACTTCTTTTAGCATTATTACAGTTAGACGACAATACATGTAAAAATAAACATTATTTACTGTTTTATGTTTAAATGTTTAAAACTAACAAAATATATTTATATTCATATTAAATATAATACAGATGGGAAGCAATAGATTTCTTTTTTGAAAATTATAAATCGAAATAATTAATTTTCCAGAAAAAAAGTACTACTTATACTTACAATTTAAGTAGTGATATGATAACTAAACTTTAACCAAGGATGATTTTTTTTAAAGAAATAAACAAATAAATAACTAGAATAAACTGAATTAATATAACATAAAAGAAGGAAAAGTAAGGAACTTTTTAGTAGAATTTATTTTATATTTTATAAACAATGGATAATTGGTAATCCGATAACTATATTTCATATAAGTAGTAATAATTAATTGTACTATATTTCTTGTAGATACCTACTATAAAAATAAGTAAAACAAAGTTAACACTTAACTGATGAGTCTAGAATAGGACAAGACGCGCATTCTGGAATCCACTTTCAGGGTATTATCTAAATTTACTTAGGAACAAAATGAATTTACCTTCTTTCTTGAACGTTTGCGTTCCACGTATATTGTTTCAAGAAGTAAGGTAGTACTTTAGAACAGTTCAGTAAAATAAAATTTTGTCATTAAAAAAGTGTAACGTTCTTTTTTGATAATACGACTCAAAATAAATACTGTAGAGTAATTAGACAAAATTAAATTTACTCAGATTGTCTGCATAATTGTATGAGACGTGAGAAAATAAAGAAACATAAAATTGGAGAAACATATAAAGTATAAAAATAACAAAGGTAATAGAAATAAGAAGTATAGGATTATTTAAAGAAATAAAGATTAATGGGATCTATCTTATTGTAGTCAGTTTGAAGTTAAGTAAAAATGAACATTTCTGTTTCATTATTGAAAATTATTGAAAATTCGTAGAATAAACCACTTGGTCTATAAAAGATGCTTATGACTAGTTGTATGTCATAACATTTACTTCAGCTAAAACCATTACCCCGAGTCTATACATACATAATGTAAAAAACTATAAACTATAGTCAAAACTTATTTACTGTGATTTCCCTTTTTCGGTTTTTTAAGGACTACTAAACCACGGTACCTTTTAGGGGTTGGTTATACAAGATTTATACCTTTGATTGAGTATGGACATTGGATTGAAGTTATTTTTTTAACCTGAATCAATTAGTTCCTTTAATAAATTTAGTGTAATGAGATGTAGATTATAAAAACTATATATATATATATATATATATATATATATATATATATATATATATAGGCACAATACATTCCGATTAATTTGATCACGCGTAATATACTTGTTGAGAACATTTATTTTTATGTACATATACCCTCAGTTTGTCTAGTTGAACTTTAATTTTTGTGTATGTGATGATGTCTTCTTATTACACTATTTAATAACGTCCAAGAAATTCAACAACCTTGATTAATGAAACACCCATAATCAGATATCGAAGCTTAGAAAATGTTAAGTAATTGAGGAAGTGCTAGACCAACTGACTACCATAAACTGAAATCATCAAAGCGTGAATAAACTTCACAATTTCTATTCACTTTCTGAGAAAGCTTTTCATGCAATTAAGTGGAATATGAAGGTCAAATGAACCATGGACTAACCAGAACTGGGTTTTTCCAACGCCCGGTTCACCACACAACTCAGTTAGTCGACCAGTTGGAAAACCTCCGCCAAGAAGATCATCGAAACTATGTCAAAAGAGATAGAACATGCAAAGAAAGAATATTACTAGCAATCTGTTTTCATGTTTTAAAACTACTTCATTTCAAAATTAATTTGAGATAAGCAAAAACAGTAAATCCAAACTCAATATTCGATCCGGAACAAAAAATAGATCAGATCACATACTCACCTTCGACACATACTTACAACATAATTATATCGATTTCTTTCAACTGGACTATTCCCATCAACTGTTTGTGATGCACCAAGTAAATCCCATGCTGTGCACAAACCGAATAGACCAATACTATTCATATCCATACATTCAATAGATGATTGGTTGTAACGATGAATAATGTCCAATGCACTACGGGCAGCTTTAGTTTTTACTCCACATACTTGTAAAAAAATAGAACAAAAATGTAAGGCAGACCTTAAAAAATGTGAAGATGCTAACAGGGTATAGATTGCAATAATAGATGTTGCATGAAGGATTATTTTGGAGCACGCTGACTGGATCATTCTTAGCCAATCAGCGTCAGGAGATAATTGGAGAAGACTCTAAAATTTTCTTGTATAAAGTTATAAATACACTGACGTTTTACTTACAGCGACTCACTCTGATTCAACTTATTCTATTTGGAATAGAATTACATACTTGTCCAAAGCGTGTCGTGATTTTGTGGACTATTCGGTTGAAGTGAAGTGTAAGAAAAATACTAAACAATAAATGGTATCTCGGGTCGAATAGCGAAAGACTGAACAGCAGATAAATGTTTCAGTCTAATAATCAATTGTATTGGGACTAATAATTTCAATATCGGATAATTTATCGTTGGTAATATTAGTTATGAATGAATTCAACGGCAATAATGAAAGCGTACGAATGACAGTATAATAGTAATAATATAATCCAACTAATAGACACATATAATCATATCGGGTTAAGAACTATGCTTAATGTATCAGTTGGGATATTTGACTGATTTAACTAATGTACATGCAGCAATGCAATCTTGAGTATCTGATGAAGATACCTCCGTTCTAAAAACTTTTATAAATGAGATATAATTCACAGAAGTTTGATAGATCAAATGAACTTAAGAATATACACCTAATCTTCAAACCAGATAAATCAATTAACTAAGAACAAATCATTTATATTGCAACAAAAATTATTAAATTTAATTTTTATTTTTTTGGAAATATAAATGAAGAAAACAATCAAATCTTACTAGTAGCTAAACGATCCACATTCAATCCAACAACTTCTGAAACACAATTAAATCCAGCACGTGTCAACCCATGTAATATAGCTGGAGATAACGGTAAAGAGATGAGTTCACGGAATCCCGGATCAGATAACATTCATGGAATAAACAACTTTTCTAAATAAATGAATTCATTAAAAAGTACTATGAAATAATAATAATAATAATAATAATTTGAACCCTTTTATTGTACGCATCACTGAAATGAATATACATACAGATGAATATAAATACAACATTTATGTAATAACAATCGGTGATATTCCTTGACCAGCTTTTAATCAGAGGTGATAATCACACCCTAGATATGAAAATACGAAGGGGGGAAAAGAAAACAATAAATAAATATGATTTTCCCAACAATAATATTAGGAATAATCAAACCATTATATCATCTTACTCTAATATATACCTACTTACATACAGAAGTCATGAAACATATGCATAAATGTATAGAATTACACAATTAAACAATATGAATCATTATAATCATAGAAGTAATAATAATTTATGATAATAAATCTATGAAGCTGTAAATAATAATTAATAGTTGTTAATATTTATTTTCACAATCTAATTTATTAAGCTGATTAACACAAATTAATGAAGAAAACAAAACAAGAGAGAAAACAATTTTAAAAAATGTAAAAACTGAATAGTACAAAGAGTAATAGCAATGATAAATTCATAATTATTGTCTATTACATAATTAATTAATTGAATTAATTCACAGGTATATATAAACACAATCTTCAAAAATAAAGAATAATTGTTTGCAATAACTTCATCATCAGGCTCTACAGTAATAAGTTCATAATTATTGTGATATTTTACAAAGGCCAGAAAGAAGGTATATATTAATGAATTTGACAACGTTATATGTTAACCCATTATTATTGTTTGTTTTCCATTGTAATATTTTTTTCTTTAAATGAAATACATTGGCAAAATAATCGGCCAAAATGGTTACATCTGGAAAAACTTTTTTCGGAAATTTAATTTGACAGTAGATTAAAAAATAGATAAAAGTGATTGACATTTAGATCTAGAACTATTTTATTTTATTGTACATTTTATTATTATTATTTGAACACATAGGTATTGGTATAAGAGGGCACCAGATATATATGCGCCACATAAATCTTATTTGGTTTGTATGAGGGCTGTAATATTGCCCGGGTGTCCAAACCGAAGTAGGTGAATTTCTTAGGAGGCCACACCTAGAGCATTCGACCTAAAGGTCTGATCCACAAGGCGGTGGCGCATCGTAAGGAGATCCACTCCCATGGTAGCCAGGAACCAACGATTGGTTCATACGCCATTTTTTCCCTCAAGATTCTGGAGCCCGTGTGCACCGTCGGTTTAGAATCAGGGTTTTCTAACGCCGCTAGGTAGGCGTCCGTATCCACCAATCCGGTCAAAGCGCAGGACATCCGCTTTTCATCCTCAATTTAATAAACAGCACCCCGACCACGAAAAGGCGATGAGTGGGATTTCCCGGCCAGTGACTTTATACATGACCTAATGAGAGAGTTTTTAGAGGTGGACTGTCCGTATCCACCAACCGGACATTCGCTTTTTGTACTCTCAATTTCGTAAACAACATATCCCCACGAGAAGATAGTGAGTATGACTTCCCTGGCAGAAGCTATATACACGTGGCCATGTGAGAGCATTTCGAGGAAAGCGGACTCTCCCCATTCTCGGCCGTACCAGGGCATTTAGGGGCATTGTACATTTCAGATTTTATGAACCTCGTTTTTTTCCAATTTAAGAACGCAAAATCTTACTCTTTTCTGTGCTTCTTTAAGCTTTAGGTTGTACATTATTTTAAATAATAAATGATTACTAGTGAATGATTAATGTCGTGTTTTAATTCTTTTAGCTACTGAGAGACCTATGGACTTACAGAATCCACATAACTTGTTGATATCTAGTCGATAATACACAAATATGTTAATATGTAGCAGATAGTAAAAGGAAAAACTGTATTATAATAAACTGCAAACTTGAGAAGAAACTATTGATTTCTAAATGCTAGTTCTTTGTTAAAACATTGATACAATAAATATACGGCTACATTAAATATACGACGACTGCTATACCGTACACAACAAAATTTTTCATGTTCTAGCTACTCAAAAAGACAAGTAATGTTAAGTTTTATTGGAAGAGATCACGGTAGATTAAGATTTACAACCAATTTAATTCAGCTATGTATCAACTCAATAATCTTTGATTACTGAGCATTATCGACCAAATAATTAACGCTGGAAACAAAACTATAATTAGGTAATCAACCAATTACGACTGAAGTATACTAAAAAGTTAATGAATAGGGTTTACTCTGAATAATACAACGAAACACGTTAAAGTTGACTGGATGAAAATAACTATACGAAAAATTAAAACTCTTTTTCATATGATGTATTTAGAGACATAGCATCCACAACGTAACAGACGAGTCACTAACAAATAAACAGATCATATTGACATAGTGAGTAAAAATGGTATGCAACAATACACCAGAGTTCTAGTATTTATGCAAGAGATTTGAAAGTACTGTTTACTCAACCACCCCTCACTTCATTGATATTCTCATCACAGCATTTTTCCCATCACTCGTCCAGAATATACATATTTTCATGTAGTTTCCCAAATGAACTAACTGACAGATGTAAGTACCTGAAGTGTTTACTTCCCACAATTGGTCTAATTTGTGTCATAAATTAATTTCAAAGAATCTGCTACAACTAAGCACTAAAAAAATAACACGAACTCGTACACTTGATGGTGATGATGTTATCATAATGAGAAAATGCCATTTTTCGACTGAATAAAATTTAATTCATTTGCATTTTTAATTGAAATAAATCGTTTTAACAAGCACTATCCTTGTTAATTAATTTGACTTTACCTCTTCGATATCTCAAACAACATAATCATTTTATTCTTCGTATTAAATTATTGGATCTACTGCATACAACAAGAGTTATAAATGAATGCACAGATTAAGTAGTCTGTAAAAAGCTTATTATCACCAGTAAGTGCGTAATTTTCTAGCACACATTGGTTCATATATCATTTTGCTTTATAACCATGAAACTGAAAAGCAAGAATGAGACAGGGAGCCTTGAGTGAATGGTAATACTAATAACTAAAAATAAATAATGAGAGGAATAAATTGTTAGTGAATATTATTCTTGCTGCTCGGTTCGAAGAGAGAACTGTTGCTCATTTGTAAATTCTGTAACTCATTAAATTAACCTCGTATTTTTACAAAAGATTACAACAGTAATAAAATTCTAAAAACTAAGGATGAACTGTCTACAAAGAATGTCATCAACAAAATGACATATGAACTGTTTACAATGCAACTATAGAATTTTGTTTGGATTCTTTTAGTACCTCACTTAATAGTACTGTGCTTGCCACCTGTTTAACATTATCTAGTGGTAACATAACCTGATATATATATATATATATATATATATATATATATATATATATATATATATATATATATATATATATATATATAGTATGAACATGCAGAAATAAGCACACAGTGAACACATAGAGGACAACTTGTATCTTAGATTTCATCGCCTTCACCACATCTTTCACCAACAAACTGAGGATAATTAAGAAAATGAGTGAAGTAGAAATTACGAAGCATATTATTACGAATAATAATAACGATAGTGTTGTATTAGAAAATTTTGAATTATTAAAATTGATGAATAGATAAAGTGAAATCATACCTGCATTTAAGAATATGAAAGACTATAACAGAAATGATATGATTGACATATTAATTAGCTTTTTTGAGCGAAAGATAAACACGTTGATTGTATTTCGTATTTTAAACAAAAAGACTGTGCGTACACACTACTAAGAAGAAAATCACTGAAGACAAAGAGAATCAGTATTATGTCCCATTTTTGAAAGGAATAAAGTGTGGGTGAGCGCGAGAGAGGACCGATTGCACAAAAATAGAAAATAAAAAAATAAACGGGAATAACATTTCACGAATACTATACTCAGTATATAAAGTGGCGATGATTAAACGACAATACAAAATACTAAAATAAAAAGAAAAAATTAATAACCAGTGAAACGATTCTCATCTCTTCGAAATTAAGCTAAAATCAAGTCGTCGCATGATTCACTTTGATAATAACTGTGAACAAGTGGTGTCAGTGTAGTTATCCAAAATTTTTTATCCTGCAAACTGGATGCTTGAAATAGAATCTCTCTGGATATTGTTTTTTGAGATTTTCGTAACAATGATGAAGTTCTATTACTAATCAATGATGACGAAGAAAACCATTTTACTTCACGAGATGATCTTGATATAATCTTTTCGTATGAGTGCAATAAATCTGATTGCTTGGCTGAAGTTCTTCCAGATTTTCGTTTTACACTATGTTCATAAGGAGCGAGTTTGAATAAATTTTGATCTGGAAAGAAAAAATCATATATATATATATATATATATATATATATATATATATATATATATATATATATATATATATTGCATAACCATTAAGTTATTATAAACAAAAACTGAAATGAACACTAAACAGTTATCACAAACTAGATCAAAAGTCTAATTATCAGCTAAAATATTCCATGTGTAAAGTTACAAATAATAAGTTGCTCTGAAGTAGACTGATAGATATATTAATTTTCTTTGAGAAGAAACTCTTCCAAGTTCAGAAATGTAATAGTAAATAAGCTGGGTGTTTTTTACAGATTAACTACTAACCCATATACATGAATATTGAATGACGCCATCGAGAAAAATTAGTGTGAGTGGAACAATTGCCAACGATATCAAGTATGTATCATGGTATGCTACAAGCTAAGAAAATATGAGGAAAAAACCTATAATTAATGTTATCTAAGATATTTCGTGAGGAAGAAATTAGATGGTTTAACAAATACTGTTTAAATATATATTCATTAGTATTAGCGAACTGTCTAATAAGTACACGAGCTACGTGACTGCAGATTTCGGTGAAACTTAGGTTACAATAAATTTATGAAATGTTGCGGCTATTCATCATAAGGATAAATCATTGAAGTAGGAAGCTCCTTTGATTTGGATCAAGCAATTTAGTAAGGGATCTAAAGAGCTGAGAAATAACTTACAGTCAAAACAGATGTCGACCAACTATGTTGATGAGAACACTGAACATTTACAATCTGTTATTCCTTCTAATAAACCTGATTATTAACGAACTGACATTGAGAAGTTTGTCAGTACACACGATTCTATGGGATTGAAGAGCCTAACTTCTGTGCGTCTTTTACACAATGGAAACGAAAATGGGACAAATATATTGCCAGAAATCGAAAATAATTTAAAGGGGATAATATTATTGTATCTCAAGCTTTGTCAAATAAGAAATTTATGACAATTTTGTGGATTTATTGCACAGAATAGTATACATGATCAATTCAAAATAACTACAGAAATATTTCGGACAAACTGAACATTTGCAGCCAATATAAAAAAGTCCTTCATTTTCTGAAAAATACATTTAATCAGCCACTAATTACCCATCATTAGTGATGAATGATATGAAATCTTCAACATCAATTTGTCGCTTACTAATTATATTGTTATCCAAAAAGGTGAATTTGTTAAGTATAAACAGCTTGATTCAATCCATAAAAATTACACCACTGATCTGATAGTAAATAGTAGTTTCAGGTGATTTAAAATGAAGTAAATAAAGATCTTTCCATTCAGAATATTATAATTACAAATTATGAATTTAAATTGCATAGTTAAAATGATTGACTACCTACTAGTCGATTTGACTCTAGTGATTTTTACTCAACATTATGCTGTTAGCAGTTACAGAGCGCAGCAAAACAAGAAACAAACTAGGGAAATTTAAAAAACTCACGAGCTTTTTCTGTGGAAAAAGGAAATTTCAATATAGATGAAGGAATACTATCATCAGTTATATCTTCCAAAATATAATCTTTTAATATTAAAGGCGGATAGCAAATACGAAATCGTTCAAGACTGACAGTTTCATCGGCTGGTGTGAAAGACGTTGTTACTGTAGGTTTGGAAATGTCCAACTTTGTCGACGATGCCATAACTGATGACAAACATCGAAATAATCGTGCATACTTGGAAGGTCGATTTCCTGAGTTAAACGATATATGTGTAACATTTCCCAAATCAGATGGTGAACGATTCCTTAAAATGGATAACAAAGACCATCGATGACCATAAACTCGTGTACTCGCAGAGGATATTATAGACGGTAGTGGAGAGACAAGTGAAGTTGGTGAGCTTTTAGATGAAGTAGTAACATGCGGCTTGGTGATTTGACGTGATAATTTACGATAATAGCAACGTGATATTAATCGACCATTATTATCGGGTTCAGAACTTATTGTTATAAGCATTAATTGAGGAAAAACAAAAACGGTTACCTGAAATATAAAGATTTCAATAAATTAATATGAAAAAGTTTTAAAAGTACATCAGAGTATTTTGATGACGAACACTGTTGAAATTATAATGATAGCGATCGAGACCGGTATAAATAAGTTAACAGAACGCCAATAAACGGTGGGAGAAATGATGTAGTTATAATACACACCGTGCGTAATCGTTTTGTAAATTATATAAAACTGGAAACCATTTCAGTTGGATTGCCTGAGGTACTTATTTTCCGAGATATTAAACGTTTTATAAACATGTTACAAAATAGCATATCAATCGAAGCTTATTATTTACAAACTATCATTAAATTATGTTTCAAAAAATGTAATAAAGCAGAATAGACTAATAATGAACTGTTCCGATAATAAATAATTAGCATGAATTTTAATAATACATCTGATGTCAGATACTTTATGTTGAAGCACCAAGTGATGAGTTCTCGGTTAAGGATAAAAGTACTAGACTAATAGGATCTGATTAATATGATTATCATATAGAAGACAAATTACAACACATTTAATTTGCTAATGTCTTAGTTTTTAATGTTCAGTCTTTCATAGTATCATTGGTACAATAATAATTTCGACTTCTTTGATACTTATTATGTTGATATTATCTCGTGTTGAGGTGATATGGCAACTTGGACCTAAACACATTTGCACCAGGCGCCACGTTTATTAAGACTGAGTGAGCACTAAAAACTTAAATTTTAAAAAAGCCATTGACAAGAAATAAAAGCCATCAAATTTTGTTGCAATGGTGAGAACATGTTTTTATTTGATTCGGAAATAAGATTGAAGTTATTTGGCTGCTTTAAAATTAAGGTTTGAAAATAAAATCTGAATAATTACTTCAACTGAAATATGAGATTAACAATAATTCTTTCTATCCACAAAAAATATTTTACTGATCGGTGGTAACGAGTAATGAACAGGTTTTGTTAATTCAAACACTTAACTGAAAACAATCATATCGAAAAAGATCCAGTACCAGAGTAATCACGAATGCTGTAGATACCACTGAACCACTAAGATTAGAAAATCCAAGATAAAGTTTTGATTATATGCTAATTCCAATTTAATAGTTGAATTCATGAGTCGATTAAAGCTAGACCACCAAGAAAACCTGGACTGCCATTTCGCCCTGGTATGGAACTTCTCAGAAGTGCGCATCCACGATCCCGCAAGCGGGAATCGGACCTAGGACTTTTCGTCTCGCGCGCGAACGCTTAACTTCTAGACCGCTGAGCCAGCATCCAACGGCGTTAATGTCTAACTTCAACCAATCCACGATATTGCGCCACCGCCCACCATTGTCTTCAATGAATAACTGCCTCACAACATACACGGTTGAATTCCACTGGTTCAGCTTACCCAAGTAAGATCATAACGACAAGAAGGAAAAAACTATTCTGAACCACCAATGACGACAGAGAATGAAATCAAAGTGCAGATGACAGGGATGAAAAAATTACATAAAGGTGTAACATTATTTCTTCAAATCCATTTCACCCTACTGTTCACCTATGAAAGATAATTAACAATTCTAATGATTTTCACGTCAAATAATATTTTCATATCATCAGTGTCGTAAGACGACTGGATGAACCAAAGAAAAAAGTGACTTTTCTTAAGTGCAACTGGATCATTACATGTTTGAATGCAATTCATTTACGGAGCACTTTTCTGCACTTGACTTTAAGCTACATATTTTTGAGTGACAACTGGTGACAGTAAACGCTTTTGTATACTGAAATAAGTAGAACCGGTTTCTAACCTGAGACTCGGTTGTAGATAGCTGAATATTCTAATCCTCAATTTACGGATCTCAGAGTATTTAGTACTTATTATTTCAAACAAGCCACTCTGTTTCATCTGTTGGATCTTTACGAAACTTAACTCACAGTCTACCTCATTCACTAACGCTTCGAGTAGTCAAGTTAAATAATGAGTGAAATGACGAAATATTAACGACGACTAAGCAGATAGTAATGCAGACATTTCAACAATTACATAAACCAACAAAACAACTTCATCATGTGAAAGAAACTACACATTACCTCCAAATTGCTTAGTTCAATCAAGGCTATTAAGTGCATTCGACATTTGATAAGCAATGTCTAAGCCTTTTAATGTCAATAACATAAATATCAGAAAATTTAGCCACAATTCACTAAAAACGTCAGTACTAATGATTCATTTAGATAAAAAAAGAACAGCTCATTTGTTAGAATATAAACTGTATTTTATTAAAATGTTATGGGGAAATAAGAAAAATCCATGACGTATGTAGCCAGGGTTAAAGAAAAGACAATGTTATTTTTTTAAAAATATCCAACTAAAATTTAATAATCTAGTGATCGCTTTTTTTTATAGATTTCAACAAATATAATATTTATTTCAATCTAACTGATCAGTAGTCATGAGGTATCTAGTTCATAAAGCGACAATAGTTACAAATGTAAGCATCACTTACTTCCCCGATATCAGTATGCAGATTGCCTTTCAATAACAGTGATTTTTGATGATATACCATATCTTTGTACTGTAACTGTGTTAAATAAAAACATTCGGTAATACAAAGCTTAGTGGCATTTATACAGAGACGGGAATAAAAAATGAATTTATCAATTACATCATTACCTTGATAAGAGGTTACAAAGTTTTATGAAATTAATGTGTTGATAGAGTTGTAAACCGTAACGTAAACTATGAAAATTCAACCATCTAGACAAATTCCTCTGTATTAATATTAACCAAGTACTTACTGGTAATTAATTTTTAGAGGAAATTCCAGATCGGGTGAAATGTTAGACATGTAAAATACTAAAGACCAGGTCAGAAGTCTAAAGCTTCAGGGCTCGCTGAGATGTCTGGAGCTTCTGAGTCCTATCCCGGATGAGTTTGTGGGTGCGAACTGCTGAGGAGTTCCATGATAGAAAAAAATAGATGTCCAATCGACTCTGGTTCCCAATGGTGCTCTATGACCAGTCCACGATATCAGTAATGAAAATACACTTTTATAAATACAAGCTGGGATCAACATGTGAACAAAATAACGCCAAGAAAAGTTCTCTTAGTCATCAATCTTATAAGCCAGAAAGCTACTTTAATAGTATTATAGAATGAGTACTAAGAAGTTTAACGTTCCTATACGACTCTGGATATATATATATATATATACTTATGCCCGTCACCCCTCATGGAAGAACATAGACCACTCACCAGTATTCTCCATCCAACTCACTTCTCGTCAATTCTTTTCAGTTGCTATTCATCCTTTTCATGTCTGCTTCCAATTCTTGGCGCAATATGTTCTTTGGTCTTCCTCTTTTTTGTTTCCCTTCAGGATTACGAGCTGACACTTCCCTTGTGATCCAGTTTGGTGATTTCCGCACTGTATGTCCAGTGTCTTTTCCTAATTTCCTCTTTAGATTGGAACTGTTTTCTCCTCTCCTACGATGGGCTGATGCTGATGGTATTCGACCAAAGGACAATCAGTATCTTACGAAGACAACTGTTCAGAAACACTTGTACTATTTTGATAATGGTTGTGGTAGTTCTCCAAGTTTCAGCTCCGTACAGAACTGTCTTGACGTTCGTATTTAGGATTTTGACTTTGATACTGGTTGACAGTTGTCGAGTTCTATATGTTCTTCAAATGTAGGTGTGCTACCCTTGTTTTGCCAACAATTGTCTTTATATCTGAATCGGATCCTCCCACTCCATCGATGATGCTGTCCTAGTACGCGGAAGTTTCCACCTCTTCCAGAGTTTCTCCATCAAGTGTGATTGAATTGTTTTCTGCGTTGCATTTGAAGATTTTGCTTTTTACCTTGTGTATGTTGGGACCTACTGCTGTAGAGGCTGATGGTACACTGGTCGTCTTGACCTGTATATGTTTGTGTGTATGGTATAGAAGAGCTGAGACATCTGCCAAGTCCAAATCGTCCAGTTGCATCTAAAATGTTCATTGTATTCCATGATTCCCTCCAGATGTCAAGGTCTTCATAATCCAGTCAATCACTGCAAGAAAGAGAACGAGGGAGAGTAAGCAGCCTTGTCTGACTCCGGTCCTCACTTGGAATGCAACTGTCCTCCACTCACCACTTTGCAGCGTAGCCCGTCATATGAATTCCGGATGGTGTTGATGATTTTCTCAGGTACACCATAGTGTCGAAGAAGTTTCCATAAAGTCCTCTTATCCACACCGTCAAATGCTTTCTCATAGTCAAAATTGATGTATAGTGGCGAATTCTATTCAAATGATTTCCTAAAGATGACCTGTAGTATCGCACTTTGGTCTGTGCACGACCGATCCTTACGGGATTCGGACTGTTGATCTCGAAAATGGGCTTCTACTGAATCTTTCATCCGACTCAGCAACACTGATGAAAACCCATCTGGTACTGATAGAAGTGTGATGCCTCTAGAGTTCTTACATTTGCTCAGACCCCCTTTCTTTGGTATCCTTCTTTCCGATCCATCGGCACTTGTTCTTCCTCCCAAATCTTCCTGAATAAAGTGTGAAGCATTTTTGCAGTTGCTTCTATGTCTGGTTTTAGTGCTTAAGCTAGTATGTTGTCAGGTCCTGCTACTTTCCCACTCTTGATTTGTCTGGTGGCCATCCTGATTTCTTCGATCGTTGGTGGAGTGATACCCATAAGGTTTGTAGGTGCCGGTGGATTCAATGGAGCTGGCCTATTCAAGAGTTCTTCGGTGTTTTACCCATCTGTTCCTCTATTCGTGAACCTCAGTGATTGGCTTGCCTTCTTTGTCCTTGAATGGTCTCGCTGGTTTACCATATTTCCCCGCTAGTTTCTTCGTTGTGTCGTGTAGTTGTTTCATATTTCATTCTCTTCCAGCTTTTCGCGCTATCGTTGCTAGGTCTTCCATGTATTTCTACTTATCGGCTCCAATGCTCTTCTTCACTTGCTTGTTTGCTTCTATGTACTGATCTAGTGCCGTGACTGTTTGGCTGTTGTTAATTGCTGTTTTTTTGTTCTTCCTTTCTTGGATCTTGTCCAGAGTTCCCATACAGATCCATTCTTTATGATAGTGCTTCCTGAGGCTCAGAACCTCGTGATGTTGAAGTTGGTGCTTCTTTGATCGCCTTCCAATTGCTCTTCATAGTAGTTTCTTTTTTCAATAGATCTTGTAGGGCTTGGAACCTGTTGTTGAGACCTATCTTGAATTCATTGAGTTTGTCAGTATCTTGAAGGAAAGCTGTATTGTAATGCCGTTTCCCCAGTTTTCCAGTACTTTTTTAGCCTTTCATCTTGACAACCACAAGGTGGTGATCTGAAGCTATGTCAGCTCCTCTCTTGGTTTTCAAGTCTTCCATTGATCTTCTGAATTTTTTAGTGATGCAAATATGATCTGTAGTGTAGACTAGTGAAACCCATGTAGCTTTATGTATACGTTTGTGGGGGAATATACTGCTGCCTATAACCATTTTGTTGAATGCACATAAATGCACATAAATCCTCCATTTCGTTCCTTTCTCCCAGACCATATCGTCCCGTGATATCTTCATATCCGGCATTGTCAATTCCGACTTTGGCGTTTAAGTCTCCCATAAAGATGGTCACGTCATTTCCTTGGCAATTCTCTATGGTTGACTGCAGCCTCTCATAAGACCGATCTTTATCGTCGTCATCGCTATCATTGGTGGGTGTATAATACTGAATAACTTTCATTGTGATTCCCTCCTTCTTTGTTTAGAAAAATACTTTGATGATCCTGGGTCCATGAAATTCCCATCCTATAAGTGTATTATGTGCTTCTTTAGACAACATCAGAACCCCCTGCGTGTGCGAAGCATTTTTTTTTTTGGGACCAGAGTACAGCAGCATTTACAAATTTACATATTTACACCAATGCTTTACTTGTTTAAGATTACTGACTGTCAAGCCTGATGTTTTCATACTTCGGATTGACAATACTTGAAAAATAGATAATTTTTTGGCTTCCAGAGAAAGCAAACACTTACAACAACAAAACAAAAATTAACAAAAACCCTTCATTAGACAAGTGGAGAACGTACCTCTAAATTGCCATGGAATCTTATACAGTTTAAGTACAAATTGCGCATAGCTTCACCAACTCGACGGTTTAACTCGTCAATTATAAAGGTGAATGCAGACCGGACAACGAGTAAATGACTGAGTTCTGGATCGGTTGAAGGTGTCTGAAAAGTAAATAAAAATTACTATATTACCATTATAATATGAATTCTACCATTATGCATAATAGATTTATTCGAATTCAAGCTTGACACACAAAGAAGTCACATGTTAAAATACATAAAATCGTATATCATGACTAGACGATAAAACAACAAAAGACAAGAAGTGAGACCATAGGTAAGGAGTTATTTGTTTAAGAGAAATACGAGAACCCTAATTTTGATCCCAGGTGATATCATATGAATTCTCAAAACATTAATTTGGACGACTTCTAAGTATTCAGTTGGAGAGAAATGTTGAATTGATAAAAGCTAATCCAACACAACTAATTATATTTCACATCGTGATCCCAAGTTATAAAGTGAACATCCCTTAGATTATTCAAACCCGTTTAGGCGGTTACCAGAATAGAAGTCCGAAGCGCTATCCATTGCGCCACCGGGACGCCAGCCCCCAAATGCCCTGGTATGGCCGAGAGTGGGGAGAGTCCACTCTCCCTCTCGAAATGCTCTCACATGGCCACGCGTATACAGCCTCAGTCAGGGAAGTCCTACTCACTGCCTTCTCGTGGCGGGGGTGTTGTTTACGAAAATGGGAGGACGAAAAGCGAATGTCCGGCGCTATAACCCGATCCCAAACCAATGGCGCACATGGGCTCCAGTATCCTGCGACAACAAATGGCGTATGAACCAATCGTTGGTCACCGGCTACCATGGGACTGCATCTCCTCACGATGCTCCACTGCCTTGTGGATCAGACATTCAGGTCGAAGGCTCGGGGTGTGGCCCCCTAAGATAACCACCTGCTTCGGTTTGGGCACCCGGGCAGTATCACAGCCCTCACACATATCAAATCAGATCTGTGTGGCGCATATGTATTTGGTGCCTTCTTGTACCGATATCTATGTGCTAAAATAAATAAATAAATAAAGGCGGTTACCAAACACTAACACGCGGTAAGCACAATGGTGATACAATTACAATCGTACCAAACCATTAGGTTATTGATTAATTTAAGTATAATTTCGTATTCTTCATTATTCCAAAGAAAGAATTAATTTACATCATCAGTTGCAAAATTAACAATTGTTTGTGCATTATTGTGGGATAAAATGTACAGAATGTTACATAAACCAAGACATCGCAGTCAACGGTACTATGTTCTTCAAGCACCTTCTGTATCAATTTCAAACTAACTAAAAAAGATGTAAAGGGAAGCAAAGAAGGAAACGCTATTCTCAACAAACCCGAAGATAAAATGAAGGCAGTTACTGGTGAGATTTTCAACAACAATTGACAATTTCAAAAGTAAAAATCTGATTATAAACAGCGTAAAAGCATGCATACTTGACCACTACATTAGAGATCTGTTAAGTCTTACGACCATCAACACATTATTAGTGGCAGTCTGACGAAAAACATCTTGGAAATCATGAACAAACAACGAACGTATCAGGAAAACTCACCAATTCGATCAGTCGATTCAGTAATAAAGGATACCTAGTCAGTCTGCTTTTGGGACATTCTATAGAAAAGAAAAGTAGAAACAGACTTAAAATACAAAAGAATGATAATAAACAGTGTTTTTACGATAAAATAAGAGCATTAAGGTACACATTTATAATAATTTACGTACATACAACAGATGGAGACATAACATAAAATAAAACTATGACAGAGTGCAAACTCGGAGAAAACAATTGGGCATAGTTTGTTGATGAGAACTAGACAAACAATCCTTTTCCTCGTTTAGCAAATACTGCAACGTTTTCACAAAAAAGGATGATGATATGAAGTACAGAATATTGGGCTCATTAATGATGTACGTCACGTTTTATGCAACTTAAAAAAACAATTAGGAGTAAGCGAATAAATTTATACAAAGGAGAATCACCTCAAACGTGAAGTTAAATACTTCCTTAGTGACAGATCTATTTCTAGCAGATTTTCTTACTATATCTTCTAAAAAACGAATAAAAGCCTTCATATACAGAAACATAACTCTTGTTCCGTGAAGGTAATAATAGGTAGAACTTACATGAAAGAGGTTATAAACTGCATGAGAATGGACTCTCCTCACTCTCGACAATACCAGGGTATTTGGATGCTAAGTAGTAATCAGTAAAAATCTTAAAAATTTCTGTAGTTTAATCGTCAAACCGAATCTTCCCCTCTTTCTCCAGTACCATATACATACTCTTCGTAATATATAACTTTGTGGTCTATCAAGGTTTATGAGCACTTACTAGATATAGATACCCTACAGGTAAGATTCATTAATACGATAATTATCTACTGTATTAATAATCTAAACTCCAAATCTTGATTTGGTGATAGAGAAATTACGTTATTGTAACTACAGGATCTTGCCCCTATATAAGAGCGAAAACTACCCAGCTATATATATATATATATATATATATATATATATATATATATATATATATATATATATATATATATATATATATATATATATATATAGTCAACCAATTGAACAATATTAAAAATATCGCTATGATAACTAGGAATAATTGTCAACCGCAAGAAAAAAAGCGTAGGATTTTACTCATAAAACAATCTTATACAAAAACATTAGAAGAATGAATTACCCAACAAATGCCACAAATCCAAACGTTTACTGAAATGTGTATGTGAACAACGTGAAAGAAAATCAGTAAAAGCAGGCTTTTGTTCGCGTAACGCTTCAAAATATTTACGTGCTTCATATAAGTGGGCTGAATAATCCAAGAGAAGTTTTATTGATGAAGGCATTATCTCGATGTAATTCTCACAAATAGAATTAACATAATTCTGTGTTGGATATGAATAACATTTACGTCCATAATTAAGGTAATCATGTTGTGGCTTTGCTATTACTTCAAGACCTAACTAATACGAGAAAATATTTAGTAGAATAATAATATCAGTTTCTACAGAATATACAATTCAAAAAACTGGGTGAAATACTTCAACATATATCATTCGCCTAGCTAATGTCCTTTTTAATCTAGTTCGGGATTTGTGCAGGTGTTAGTTTGAAGCTTACTCAAAGGCTACCACATAGAAATCCATTAATTTAAAATTATGATGGTTACCAAAAAATAAGAATACCAAATAAAGTATAACATGTACAATTGTTATACGGGGAATAGTTGTTTATGGAAAACCCAACAATAATGATTAAAAGGCAGTAATGTCCTACTCCAACAATCGACCTACAGAAAGTTCTAGTACCTCCTATTTCATCCAACCACTATATCTAAACATTTTAGTCGGCATTTCTTCTCTTTACGTAAGAACTATAATTGACTTTAAAATCGAACCTCATTTTCAATACCGTCGTTTCGCAAAAAACGTTTAAGTAAACATGTTAGAAAAATTCTAAAATAATGAGTCAAGTAAACTCCATCCCTATGTAATACAAATCCATAAGAAACTCTTTCAATAAAACTTGATTTTGCCGTCTATTTTATACGAATTTCGAACCTGGTAACCACTAATTCATTTATAATCTTATTTTAATGATCCAAAACACTACCATTTGACTGGTTTATTTTATCACTGTTAAACAAATGTTGATGAAGAGCAATGAACGAAAACTAATTGTGACGAACATTTCTTCGCTCTGTTTGTCTTTTCCTAAATATCTGTATGGAATTCCTTCGATTTATCAAAAAGGTTTGCAGTTTATACTGTTTTTGGAATTGTTAAACAGTTATTATTTGAACAAAGAAAGTTGTGACTAATAAAACAAGTATAGGTTAAAGTTAACCTTAAGCATACATTGAAAGTTGAAAATTTTACGACCTCAAAATAGTACACGATATGCACTGACAGCTTGGTACTTTGTGTTGTCATCCAATCATTAACAAGACTCCTAAGGCTTTTACTTTCCTCATCTTACTGCCGAGTATTCAAGATAAACGTTATCCTGTAAGTGGAAAGTAATTAAATCATACAAGACGGTAAACAAGACGTTTACAGTGAGTAATTTATAACCATAGAGGAAGATCACTTGGTGATTTACAAATGTATATATTAATGGCTTACAGGTATGAAGATTGAGAAGTGATGGAAGAGGTTTCTGCTCTTGCTAAAATACTCTAATTTAGACATGTTAATCCTTGTAGCCACAAATGTCCCAGTAAGTGAAGGGTTTAATAGAACCGATTAACCAATTATATACACTTAAAACAAGTGGTTGATCACTAAATAACTATTTCCATAAAAATTATTGGTAGTTTCTAATGATATATAGCTTCCTGGTCAAAAGAACTAAGTACTGCCACAACAGGTCTGTAGCGTATTTCTAGTAACAAGAGTAAAAGTGATGGAAATGTTTTATTCCATATTTCTTTATAGATGTTCACAGATACCGAAGTCAAAGATATCAAGTGAATGCTTTAATTCTTAATTTAAGAAACTATTGCTCGGTTGGACAATGAAAATTGTCAACAAACTAAAACGACTAGATAACACCTATTTTAATTAAAGTATCACTCCCTCTCCATGTTATTCACCACAAAAATACAAAACTATCCTACTTTAACATAAAAACTGAAAGAATGAGCTAAAGAATTTTAAGATTAGCACAGTAGGTAAATAGAAGTCATACAGAAGAATCATCTGGTATGATCTACATGTTGCTTTTATCAAAACTACAAAAACGTAATAAGCTTACCCACAGATATAAGATCATTCCTATGTATGGTATGCTGAGATATTTATTCACTTCTGATGAAAGACTATTTGCTAATCCTAAAACATAGGAATCACATAATGAAAACTGACTAACCTTCAAAAACTGGTATAATAGCTTCAATTGAATAGAACAGATGATTTATTTCCGTTGAGGTAAGTATACCCAATTTTTCTAATGGATATTTGTACACCTAGAACCAGTTGAATAAATATGTTCGATTTTTACCTTAATGACAGTTTTCAGATCACTTACAAGTACTTCTTCGCCATCATAGAACTCAGATATGATCTAATAATTGGAATACTGAATGAAAAAAATTACCTGAATCCTCTCCATCTGACTTCCAGATAGGGCTAATAGGTTTGGTGTGGAACGGTGCTTAGAGGATTGAAACGGTGATTCGTGGCATCCTCCTTCAGACCGGTTCTGGGTAAGATCGAGACAACCATAGGACTGGCAAAAAGCTTCATTTTGAATGGTCATTGCCCAAAGAATAATTTTGAAACAAGGGATTACGCTAACTTGCTGGAGAGATCGAAAGTATAGCACGATTTTTAAAGTAACTATGTATAGCTTTAGTTTATACCTTACCACAACATATTTGATACTTGGTCAAAACATGAATTATGTACACAGATTGGACAAATACAAAATAAAGCGGAAAAAGAAACCATCTAAGTCAATAGCTTACAAATACGTTTTGTATAAGCTCTGAGTTGTATCACCAGTCACTAACAATGAATAAAGAATGCAACCTACCTGTACAAATTTGCTAAGGGACATAAATCTGTAGTAGCCCAGGTAACAAAACAGCAAACGCAAAAAAGCAAATATACAGATAAAGATCATGACTATAAGTGTCATTTCGATTATTGGATACAGTACAAATTTCTGCATGCATCCCAAGCCGTTTCTATGGGAAACCCCAGTTCTATTGACCAATCTACTAAGGATGTTGAGTGTATAATAGATTGCATATTTGCTCTCCAGACGTTAGGTCTGGGTTGTGCTGACACATCCTCGTCCTTGACAACTATATGGAAATAAAATACTATAACTGCATGATCACTTTTACCTAGGGGTGACATATAATAGAAGTTTGTGACATCATCCTCATGACGAGTCAATACAAGATTGAGTAAGGATGATTCTGAGTACGCGTCGTACCCAGATGCTTCTTTCAAATGTCACACTAGGGCACATGTGATAACCGAATTAACTAGTTCCTGCTCGGAGGAATTTTCTGACAATTCAGTTCTCAGATTTTTCCAGTCTACCGCAGGTGCATTCAAGTCTCCTAGGACTAAACATTGACCGTTTTGTGACCAAGTATTGAGACCATCTAGCAAGACCTCATTCACCTCACAGCTTGGACTGCGATAGACCACATCAATGGTGTGGTGTGTAGGAGTAGGTTGGAAGAAAGCTAGAGGCAGCCAGACCAAAACATGGCACAAATCCATGAAGTCACTGACAAGTTGACTAAGCCATGTTGGTTGGCGTAGACTACCTGGTTGGGGTCCGCGAAACGATAGCAACCGATGGTTAGAGACCTTGAATGACATGGATCAAAATCGTTTGCAATGGCGCAGGTGCATCCACTCTCTGTGTTCTCTCAAACTCTAATCTTCTGAATTCTTCACACAGGGTATTAGGGAATGATGGTAAATCAGTTGATGAGGTTATGAATCTTCATCGACTGAGATGGTTGGGCCACGTGTTGCGTATGCCTGAACACCGATTACCACGACGCGCAATGCTGACTAGTGCAGGGGATAATTGGAAGAAAGTTAGGGGCGGCCAAACCAAAACGTGGCATCAGTGCTTGAAGTCACTAACTTCTGGTCTGAGCCATGTTGGGAGATGCAGACTGCCTGGCTGGGGTCCGCGTGACTATCGTAACCAATGGTTGGAGACTCTTGGTGACATGGCTCAGAATCGATCACAATGGCGTCGGTGTATACACTCTCTGTCTTCCTTAAATTAAGAGATTAAAATCGCTTCATATCTGTCTAAGAACTAATTCTTTCTTCCTTTACTATCTCCTTATACACAATCTTTCTTCTATATATTACCACCACTGAATTAACTACTATGAATCCGGTGTTCATCTTGTTGTGCTAATGCGGTATGGCAACTTGGACCGATGCATATACGTGCCTGGTCCTACGTTGCAGCTGACTGACTGACTGACTACCTCAACCACTACGGGATTTGAATCGATAACTGAAACTCTGTGCTAATGTGGTATGGCAACTCGAACTGATGTACGTACGTACGAAGTTCCACGTTGTTACTGACTGAGACCACATCAATCAACACCTCATGTCATTTGAATTCCAAGCGGCAATTAACGAATCCACACGTCCCACTCTCATGGGATATGTTTTCAATAACGGTAAATGGGATAGCATTTCTAAATAATAAGGCTACTCCCTCTTTACGCTTCTGGATTCTGTCGGTTCTTACTAATATTAAACCTTCAAAATCAAGTTCCGCACTGTTTATAGACCGCGTCAACCAAGTTTTTGTGACTGCGATTGCATCCGGCTTCGTAGAGTCTATCTCCATCGAAGCCTCACCACTTAGAAATTTACAATTCTATGGTCCTCGACAGCATATAACCTTAGATTTGGTTCTTCTTCTGATTATCGTCAATTTATACGGTTCGCGAACGGCAAGTGTTTATGGACAAAAGCTCCTGACCGCTTTAGTTAATGTCCATTCTGTAGTACTATGTCCCTTTCATTGAGAGACTTAAATACTACTATAAACAGCATGGTTTGGTTTTTTTCAAGCCCTTTCGGCCACCTAGTCTATAAACCTTTAGCAAAGTGACTTTAGAAATATTCTGAGGCATTGGTCAGTTTAGTAGCTCTTCTATCAACTCAATTTCATGCTGAAAACGAGTTTTGAGCTCTGAGCCTTGACTCTATGAAAGACAACTGACCTGTCAGTATGACCAGTCTTTAATTTATCAGCTACTGTTTTAGGGGCCGGCTCTTCTTTAACAACATTAGGTCCTTTCTTATTCTTGATTTCACCCATTCATAAACATTCTTTGTAGTAGCAATCAGTCACGTTTCACACGCTGAGATTCCGAATGATTGTAGGTCACTTGGGTAGTCAAGTTGTTGTTTTTCTTGACAGAAACAGGCCTAACCTTGCGGTTAGGTTTTCTAGATGTTTACTGCTCGCCGCCGTTTGGAGGGCGAAAGACAGAAGGAACTTCTTCTCTTGTGCTTTCATTTCTAACAAACCTCTTTATAGGCCTTTGTTCGTTCGTTGACCCATGTAAGTCAATCGACTCTGAGCATATTTAAGGCAACTTCATACCGATATGATTATCGAGAGTGAGTACCATTTGATGTGTCTCAACTGTGTTTGCTTACGCTCCTTTTAACAGAATTCACCATGCACTAGCTTCGGATAGCAAGCTACTTGCATCCGAGAAGCAGTGCTGACACAATCATATGCAACTATTTTTACTAAGCTGTTTGAAAGTAGCAGGCGTTAGATTCGTGCAGACTTCGTGATAGCATCCATTGCACTCACCGCACTGCATACCACTTCCCACAGGGTGTCGACAACCTGGACGTTGACAATTGCTTTTTTACACCGTCGTCATTAATATGACGTTTACAGAAAGAAACTAGACATAAACAAAACCCAGAGACACGAGAAACTGATGACCAAAGAAAGTGAAAAACTGTGAATTGTTAGAACCAAATGCTCAAACAAATGCAAAACGAACCAACATACTCGAAAGTACCGACTATAAATTACTTTCAAGAAAACGATACTCTTGGCGAATACTTTAACTGAAATTAATTGAATTAAAGAGAAAACAGTAGTCTTGATGCGTAATAAACAATTAAAATTAACTCAGCAAAGAAAAATACGACTGTTCTTTTTATGTAGTGTGTGATATAAATAATGCAATAGTAAGACAGAAAAAATCATGCTTACTGTAATGACGAAACATTAATGTGTGAAGTGGGTTAATTCAGAACCGGGAGCGAACTCATAGTGACACCAACCAACGGTTTGAAAAATTGCCGGTTCTCTTTCGAGCAACTGACGATTGTATGTAACAACCTTCAACACTCAATCTCACTTAATTGGAAGTGGCAAATGAGATATCTTTTATTCCCTGTATTAGAAACTTCAAATGGTACGGGGTAATCTGAGCCACACATTTTTGTTGTTGTGTCGAAAACATAATGAAAGTTAGACACTATTTGGATGAGAGCTTATGAAAAATAATTAGTCTCAAGTTGTGATACTGTAGTGGTTCGTAAATCCCCCAGAAAAATAGTTTTACAAGGCTTTGTTATTTGTTCTGACCTCATTAATTTTACTGGGCACACCCTAGCTGAAGGCGCTCGACAACTTATTCTCACTACGCAGTGCTACGCAACAAACAACCAGCTTAGATCACATATTTCCAGACATACCGACTATCTTCAAAATATGTTTTCAAAATACTTCATACTTGAATTTTGAATGGACTGAGTTTTGGGTTCTTCAACTGTACAGGCATTAAGGACGAATGAGTTGTCAAACCCTGAAAATCCATGACATCATGTCATAAAATTTCATACTCCTACTCCATGATTATAAGTTTTTGAAGAGGTTTAGATCGTCAACATTTACATTCCCATCATTCAGCTGTCTAAAGAATAATATCCGGTGATGTTTATGAGTTTGATTATGATGCTAATTGTTAACTATTGAAGTGGTTAACTGGTGCTAGAAATCAATTTTAGTAGTGATGTGCTGATCCACATCAGTCATCTCAATAATATCACAAATACATCATCAGTGATGCAGTCCTGTCACATAATTCCGAAGTGTAGAAATAGGCTCTACCAAGCAAGTTGCGATTGCAATCACAGAAACTTGGCTAACTCAGTCTGTAGACAGTAGGGAAGTTGGTTTTTAAAGTTTCACCGGCAGTTATATCAGTCAGGCAATAATGTGGATAGAAGACTTCCTAGTTGGACGCCAACAGAGCGTACGGGTGAACTCAAAGTTTTATAGTCGGAAAACTGTGTCTCATGGTACAGTTTTGCGGCCAGTGTTATTCCTCTTTTAAGTGAATGAACTTCCTCGTCTCCTATCATCATCGGTTATGTTATATGCCGACAATGTCAAGATATGGAGAGCGATAAGAAGTAAAGGTGACAGCTTAGAACTGAAAATGGCCTGGATGAATTATCTGAATGGCCTAAAATTCGGCAGTTGCCGGTCAGTGCTTCCAAGTGCATTGTGATGCATATTGGTCATCAAGACGTAGAAACTACTGCACACTCCATGCAACAGCCACTAAAGGTTTTTAGAACGTTATGATCAATACGTAGGGTATTGAAGATACCATAGGTATTTGGAGTTTGACAACACTTTAACCAATAACACCTTCTACCATGAACCGCACCCACCAGGTGAAATCAAAAACAGAGGCGAGGAGGTTCGAAGATATATTCAACAGGCTTGTTGAGTTATGGTCTACTATGATATTATTACTGCTCTAATAATAAATCTAATCCTAAAATTGTACATTTGTCATGATATAACTGTCTAATCTATAAAATCTTACGTGGAAGTCACATCATTGTCTACATTGACTCATCGTATCGTAACAATTATCAATATATGATGGAGGACAAGCTTAGGCTAGAGATGGAACAATATATTTAATATGAATAAAAGACATAAGGTGACATTCAACAGGGACCACACCTGCATGGCCGAGCCATGCCATCCGATTAACTCGAACTCGTTCAACTCATTCTTCCTGTCTTCTTTATCGTTGGGTTTTTCTTCGCGCTAAATGTTGAGCATCCATTTTCCTAAGTGCGTCGTGTTAAGCATTAAGGATTGTATGGTTAAGGCCCAATGCCACTACAAGTCCATTTAAACTAATGTGGTCAGCATCCAATGTCAAATACTTACAGAGACATTTAATTTGGGGATTTATTTATCCTAAGTCATGACCAGCCAGAGGTTTAAACTCAACGAGTTTGTCGTTGGTAAACACTCTTCTGATAGGTTGCGATGCTTAGTAGCGTCTGGTCGTCTTTCATTACTATAACGGACCATATAATACAATATAGTGATAAAGAAACAAAGTACATTGAACTTTTTGGTTCTTCGTAAACTTCGTCGTTCTTTTTATCGTCTTTTCCAGCTATCCTGGAAAAGAAAGGAAAAATATGTAATTGTATGTCGAAATACATTCGTACGCTCGAAAAACACAAAGTGGGTGAAAAAGAATAAAACAAACTCATGCACACGTGATAGCGAAAAAGGATTTTTACAAAATGGTTTTTCGTGTTTTTGTTTCTTTTTTTGGACCGACAATATGAGTATAGAAGCATATTAAAATTGTTCATATATATTATTTAGTACAAAGAAAAATCGAGATGATATAATATATCAACCAGTATCTTACGTGCAAAGATCGTTCAAATGTTCCGGAAATCCTGCTCTTCTTCCAAAATTAGTTGTTTAAAGTTTATTTTCGGATACTGCCGAAGTTTCATAGTGCGTGTTGGTGTCGGATGAGGTATTATAAGTGCTGGAGCCATGTCTGTCGATCGTACCGAAGGAAAATCGACGTGAATAGGATTTCCTTCCGAATACGCAGCTTTGAGGCAATCGATGCTGATACTATCGTTGGTTCCTTTCTTATCAACTATATAGTACTTGGGTTCGCGTTGAAGAACTTCGAAAGGTCTTCGATGAGAGTCTCGACTTACGAAGACGTGTGTACTATATCGTAAGTCAGGTTGAACGAAAATATCAGTTGATTGTGGTCGAGTCAAAACGGGTTTAACTGGACGCGTTGCGTTTGTAAACCTTTTCGTGTAGGAGGTTAGATACATGTGCATTGAAGAAGATGAAGGATCCACGAATTCTCCTGAAAGTCGAAGTGTTGTTCCGTAAACGAGTTGAGCCGCAGTGTATCCAGTGTCAATTTTCACTGCATGGAGAATGCCTAATAAGACGAGTGGAAGAGCGTCGGTCCACTGAGAAATGTTTGCAGCTGATAGTGACGCTTTTAGTTGTCGGTGAAAGCGCTCTACAAATCCGTTTGCTTGTGGGTGGTAGGTGGGTTTTTGCTGCTTCTACTCAAGTCAATTTATTTCTTCAGGCATATATATATATATTTGTCGAACGTAAGCTTATCCCATATATCTACGGTTTTTTAGGTTGTGAAATTTTAAACGATGTAATTGCAACCGTACGGAACAATGGAAAATTGTTCGTTTCTTATGGGGGTGTGGCTAACCAGATCGAAAGATAGCATTTAGCACACATGAGCACATTGTAACGTACAAATGATTCCCTGAAGTTCTGTGTTTGGATTCAACATACACGAACAGGGGGAAGTAAGTAAAATTTTCCTGCGTACTAATTGTCTTTAGTTATAAACTCTTTCAGTTAGTTTGTACAGATAACTGCGGGCATGGAGTCCCAGTTATGTTTGCTTGGACCAAGGGAGAGATGATTGATGTAGTATGGATACTGGATGTACATCAAGAATAGCCAGCCATCTTTTGTGTTCTTCGTAGACGGTCATCAATGTTCGGTAGTGGATATAAGCAACGGCACTTGCATCTGCCGTTTATTTAAAACCTGTCGAATTCCATGTAAGCACGTGATTTTTACTCATCTACAAATGCCACAGTTCACAGGTATGTTATGTTCATCTTTGTATCATGAAGTACTTGATTTAGTTTTGAAGCTCTGTTGCAGACGAACTTGGCAGGCTGTCCAAGATGTAGATGGAAATATACCAGCTATTTCGTCGCCAGATTATAATGAAACGAACAGATTATAAGCATTAAAATCCACACACTCAGTACACTTTTCGGACAGATGACGGTGCAGGACACACTAAGTCAATTAATAGATCAAGTTGATGAATTTATACGCAAGAGGCGTCTGGCTACAGGTTTCAAACATGGTAAGTCCACTGGTTCTTTGGAAACCAAAATCTAAGTATTTATAAATGCATCTATCAAGCTAATACTCGTACTCTCTATTTCAGATAATCAATGAACACAAATCTCGTCACGTGCGTCTTCTGCGTTGCCAGTTTTTGTTAATACCCTATTAAATAAAAGTCTTGTATTCACTAAATACAGAGTTTCTTGTTATATTTGGTATAAGGGAGGGAAAACATTGAATGGGCCTGTAGTTGTGTTTTGACGAGCGCGTACCCTCACAATACTAGTAACCCGTCAGTGTAGCTAAGGTATTGGTTGGAAATCCGACGGCATCCCAATAAACAACTATGGGTTAAACGCGTACTCATCAACGTACTACTGCAACGCATCATGGCGTCTGAATTCGGTTATAAGAAGGCCCGGAATTAGGGGTTTCTCGTTGTTTGCTTATCATATGGTATTTCAATCAGAAACTAAGATTACAGGCAGGGACTGTTGAGATGTGTAACTGTGTCAACTGTCTTAACTTGAAATTACTACATATCAACTAGGTGCTGAGAAGCTCGTGTTTCACCAGTTTCTTACAACGATTAACTAGATAAAACGAAATAGCATCAATTCTATAGATTTATTCACGAATTTTAATTAACAATGGAATATGAAACAAATATTTATACCAGGTTCCAAATTAGATTGCAGCATTGGTAAAGTGAATCTGCAGTAGTTGTTTCTTTTCAAACGACAGGGTATAAGAAGTAACTCCAAAACACTGGAAGTGGTTGTGATAATAAAGTGGACGTCCGATACGCTTTTAATAATCTGCTGTTACTTGGGTCTCCCATAAAGTTTCATAGGGCCATAGTTATAAAGCTGAATGACTTTGTAAGATATGTGACGGATCATTCTTGTTACATTCTAAATAAAAGATAGTAATGGATTTAGTCAAGAATATTGAAAAGGTAAATAGACAAATTACATGTTTCTAAGGAAAGAATTTATGCAGTTGTGATTTACCTCGACTTCATAAATATCAGATCACGCCAGCTAATAAAACTTCTGCAAAGTACAGCATCGCACAGCTTTTATTATTTTGCTCCCACTTAAGTATTCCCAT